CCCTTCTGATCATCATGTAAGCTGCTTCCCTCTGCCATACTCTTCTGCCTCACCTCAAGCCCCGAGGAATGGCTCCATCCTTCTCTGGACTGAGATCCCTCAAATGAACTTTTCCTCCTCTACAGTTATTCTGGTTGAGTCCTTTTATTCACAGCAGGGAAAAAGCTAAGTAAAACAATAACCTTGGTACAAAATACTGCTAATCCCTGACACAGGAAGTTCCTAATAATTCCATTGCAGCACATTTGAAATTTTAGCGGCATAATAAAGGGAAATTTTCAGGAAACTATTTACTGAAGAGTTTGATCAAGTTTAATTTCGTAGATATTGGCTTTTGTTCATTTTTGAGCCATGGTAGTTTCTTTCATGAGAAACTAAGACAGCAAATCATGCCTATGCTCATTTCAAGTGCACTCTACCCATGTGTCTTTCCAGGAGATTATCAATGAGTGGGATGAGCAGGAACGCATAGCCCAAGAGAAGGCAGAACAGGAAAATAGCCTGTACAAATTCAAGAGCAAGAACTCTAGGACCACCCTAAGCGAGGAAGAAGAGGAAGAACAGGAGTTCAGAAAACAGTTTCCACTGCATGAAAAGGTAGGGTGCTGGTGTCAGGATTTGTTTGGAAATGAATTCCCCTGGTTCCCCATACATTCCCTCTGAATGGCTCTGTAGTCTTTTTAATATATTTCAGTGCGTGTAAGTCTTCATTTTCTTCATGATTCATGCCTCTTTCTTCCTCTTTGTTCTAGACTGATTATAACCAGATTCTGATTTTTAAGTTTATAATTGTTTTAATATTGTTTACAGGACTTCGCAGATATTTTGATAGAGCCAACACTTGAGGAGAAAAAAGGAACTTTAGATGGACAAGAAGAGGATACAGCCACAGACCCAGCTGCCCTCTCCCAGAGTTCAATGCAGGCAGTAATGTTGATACACCAGCAGTTGTGCCTCAACTTTGCTAGGTCCCTGTGGTACCAGCAGGCTGTGCCACCACATGAGGCAAAGCACTACCTCAGCTTGTTTGCATCTTGCTATCAGACTGGGGCTTCTCTTGTGACACACTTCTACCCGCTGATGGGTATGGCCAATTACTTTTGCTTTACCCTTGGGAAATCAAAATGAATAAATGGAATCCCTACTTCTTGAATAATTAAAATCATAAATTCACCATTTTTATTTAATTCTTTATCAATAGTTTCCTTTGCTTAAATAATTTTACTAATTTTAAAAAGTGATTAAAAATTCTGCAATAAGATGGATTTTTATTGTTTGAATCCTTTGGGATGAAAGATAGGAACTTAGTTTATTTATGTAGTCTTTTTCCCTCAGCATTATTTCCACTTCCCTCTCATAGACTTAATGCTTTCTAGTCAGGTATTCTTGGGAGCAATCTGGGAACTCAAACTCTCAAAATCTAAAGTGATGGTTGTTTTTGATGCAGTTTCCAGTGTGACCTCAAGAATTGTCCCATGCAAGTAGGAAGAAGGCTTTAACTTCTCTACTGATCTAGAATTGCTAAAGAAACTGAATTTGAATGCATTCAGTCAAATATTTTTGTTTATAGATAAGCATCTTACTTCCACAAAACCTGGAAGCTTGTGGTAGCTACTGTGCTAATAAGGTCACTCATCTAGGCCAGTGTTGCTTTAGGAGAGAATAGCATTAGAATACCTGTTTTACTAGTCCCACCCAATTAGTTGATTGTTTCTGACATCTTTGTAATTTTGATAAATTACCTGAGTTCTCTGACTTCACCATAATGATGTTACCTTCACAGGAGTTGAACTGAATGACCGACTTTTGGGCAGCCAACTTTTGGCCTGTGCCCTTTCCCATAACACACTCTTTGAGGAGACAGCCTCAGACCTAATGGTGAAACCTGATGGGCCCTATGATTTCTACCAGCACCCCAACGTATCAGAAGCAAGACAGTGTCAGCCTTTGCTTCGGGGTTTCTCAGAGGCCGTCAGTCAGTTGCTGCAGGATTGGCCGGAACACCCTGCACTTGAACAGGTAGGGCAGCTGGTGAAGAAGGGATGAACTGCCCACAGGACCTTAACTGCCCTGGGAATGTGGCCTCTTACTATGTCCAAGGGCATTCCCTCGCACACTTGAACATATAAACAAAGATTTAAAGAACAATAATTGAGATGCTATTTGATCAGGATCCACAGTCCTGGAAATTTTCATCCACAATTTTCAGAGGTGCTTTCAAAATAGAGAATGAAGGAATGAAGCTTCCTGTCAGAACTCCCTTCAGTAGCCTGTGACTGAATAACTGGTTTTTTTTTTTTTAGATTCTTTTTAGTTACACATGACAATAGAATCTATTTTGATATAATTATACAATCATGGGAGTCACTGGTATTTCTGCTGAGATACCCAAATCTTTTTTTCTGTAGCTGCTGGTCGTAATGGACAGAATTCGTAGTTTCCCACTTTCCAGTCCTATCTCAAAGTTTCTGAATGGCTTAGAGATTCTTCTGGCAAAGGCACAGGTAAGATTCCCTCTTTTTCTTCTTTTAATTTGTGGTATTCTGACAAACGTTTTATCTCATGATTTTTTGTTAGAGGAACAAAGAGTTCATAGTTTGATTTGGAGAAAGATAAACATCTTTGTTTTTTCTACTATGGGTGGAGATCAGTACAGTAAATCTGTTGCCCCTGTGGTAGGGGTGACTATGCATAACCTCTTTTGGGGAGTGAGACCTAGTATCCCCTGGCACTGAATTCTCACTTTGCCGAAATGTCCAGTGAGCCTTCAGTCTGGCTGAGTGCTCACATAGGTCATCTTCCTCAGTCCCTACACAGCCTCTGAGGTGACTGGTGTCTCTCCATTTCACAGAAATAGTCACTGACTCTGTTCAGGATCAGATAGCTTACAACAGTAATTCAGACATCAGTCCACAAACCCTATGCTTTTTATGGTCTTCTACAACATGACAGCTGCAGTTCTATCACACAACCATAAACTTGAACCTGGATACACTGATTGTAAAATCATCACTGCTGGTGGTAAAAGTTGTCAAGGATCCTGTAGTGTTTCTCAAGAAAAGTCTGAAATGTTATTGGGAATACATGATCATGGGGCTGCATAAAGGGCATAGTACATTCTTTTTTGTTGTTGTTGTTGTTTTAATATACCCCTTTAGGACTGGGAGGAGAATGCAAGTCGAGCTTTGTCTTTGCGGAAACATCTTGATTTGGTTAGTCAGATGATCATTCGGTGGCGCAAACTGGAGCTGAAGTAAGTGACTCTCCCTCTTAAAATTAATTGTTAAGCACTATTATATATTGATGGGTTTCTTGGAATGTTTATGTTATGGCAGTTACAGAATCTGCTTTTTCAGCCATTAATCACTGAGTTTAAAGCAGGACATTAAAATGATCTTAAAAAGACCATTCTTATTTTTTAATCTTTCTTTTTTGTGGTACTGGGATTTGAACCCAGGGAGACTTTATGTGAGCTACATCCCTATTCCTTTTTAGTTTTCATTTTGAGACAGTCTCACTAAATTTCTGAGGCCAGCTTGTAGTCCCCCTAAGGCCATATACTTGGAGACAGCAAAATGGGCAGTTTTTTCCATCTCCATTTGTGAGAATATGAGGATTTAATTTCTGTGATTTCACATTTTTCAAATGGATTGCCTAAATGTCTCCATGGCCTCTTTTTCTTATGTTTCAGCTGTTGGTCCATGAGTTTGGATAATACCATGAAGCGCCACACTGAGAAATCCACCAAGCACTGGTTCTCCATCTATCAGATGCTTGAGAAGCACATGCAGGAACAAACAGAGGAACAAGAAGGTAATACTTGGCAGGAACTTCCTGCTCATTCAAAGATTTCAAGCTAAATTGGGTACTGCAAAGAATAGGATTTACCTGTTCCCATAAGTCACAGAGGTTTAAGTGACTTGTTCAAAATCTGGAGAACCAGTATATGATAAAAAATTTTGTTATTCTGTATTCTTCATGTCCATGATTCAAAATGAAAGTTGCCTTCTTGGTAGGTAGTAGTTAACATGCTCAAGTTCAAGTTAAAAAAAAAAACAAAAAAAAACCCCTTTATTTTCAATTCTGTTGCTAAGAGTGCATTTAATATATACCTTGTATGCAGCTGTTACTATCAAAGCAGTCAACATTTAGCTGTGATCTTTGCTTCAAAGTGGCTTTAACTGGGGTTCCTACTAATGGCCATTCCTTTGTATATCCCATAGTAGACTGCATGCATGTTATGGACAATGTGTGATTATTAAAAACACATGTTTTCCTCTTCTAATCTCAAAAGATGACAAACAGATGACTCTGATGTTGCTGGTCAGCACGTTACAAGCATTTATTGAGGGATCCTCTCTGGGGGAGTTCCATGTGCGACTTCAGATGTTGCTGGTTTTCCATTGTCATGTTTTGCTGATGCCACAGGTTGAAGGAAAGGGTGAGGATTTTTTTTTTTTTTTTTTTTTCCTTTATAGTGCACTGTTAAAATGGGTTAGGCTTTGAATCCTCCACATGAGACAGTTATGTTTTTTGCACATCAGGTTTTAAACAAGGCAGTTCTAATTATCTGTTTAATTTTAATATGATTCACACTAGATACAGATATAGTCAAAGCAAAGTACAGTTGATTATAGATGAAGCACTGACTAGTGAACTCTGGCAGAAGCATATTGCCAGATGAGCCAGGCATAGTGGCACACCTGTAATCCTAGTGACTTGGGGAGGCTGAGACGGAAGGATTGCAATTTTGATACCAGCCTTTGCAACTAAGTGAGACCCTGTCTTAAAATAATAGAAAGGGGTCTGGGGATGTAGCTCAGTGGTAAAGTAGCCCTGGTTCATTCCCTAGTACAAAAAAAAAAAAGAAATACATACATATATACATACATACATACATACATACATACATTCCCTCCCCTACCAGATGAAGTTCTTGGGAACTTGTGTGTCAAGCAGTACATCTTTCCATCTATCTGGATACTGTTTATTTCCTGCTAAGCCAGTGCTTAATCCAGGTCACTAGTATGCTCTTTGATCTAGTGAGAATACTGCCATAATTTCAAGGAACTGCATATAAAATTGCTACTATAAGTTATTATCCTTGACCACAGCAGGTTTAGGACAAAACTGTGAAGTGAGTGTAGGATGTACATGAGTGAACAATTGAGATGAACCTTAATATGCCATCGTTTAAAACAGTTGTAGTGTCTATTGATTTTATAAGAAGATTCAGATAAGTTTTGAAGTAGTGATTTTAGCAGAACTTCTCTGCATACCTTATCTTCAAGAACTAAAGAGCAATAAGACCAAAAAAATCTGCTGTAAGCTGAAATGAAAAATAAATTAGTGTTTATAGCCTACCATCTCTGCGAATTGCTAAGCTCAGACAGGCTTCCTAGATAATCTGCCTGTGCAGTATGCTGTAATTGCATTGCATAAAGAGTAAGGAGGAAGGCTTGCACTGAAATGTGAAACCCACAGGTGGCGCCCGTAGCACATGCAGCAAGTGTGGTGTGTTGTTTCCTTTTCATTTCTTTCAGATTCACTTTGTAGTGTTCTATGGAATTTGTACCATTATTACCAGCAATTCTTTGACCGGGTCCAGGCCAAAATTGTGGAACTTCGTTCCCCTCTAGAAAAAGAACTTAAAGTAAGATGAACAACTCTCATGATCATCTTTGGGGGGAAAAAACAATCAAATTCTTTTTCTTTATTTCTGTTCTTTTGTCCATTTAACAGAGGCCAGGACCAAAGGGAATAGAGGCAAGTGATGCTGCAAGTAGGACAATAAGACTGATATTTTGTGATGGTAGCCCCATTAGTGACCTGACCACATGTGTGAGGGCCCTCTCTCTTTGATGCTTTCAGAGGTTGTGGAACCAACCCCTGGCAAAAGGAACATGACTGGCCCAGTAGTTTCTAAGTTAGAGTACATACCAACTGACCTATTGATTGTAGCAGCACTCTTATTGATAGCTTTGAAACAAATTCATGGTTCCTCTTTTAGACTTGCTTTATTTCTTCCTTGACACACAGTCTTATATTTGAGGTGGAGTGGGTACTGGTCTTCGGTAAATAGACAAACTAAGGGGGAAAAAAACCAGAATAATCCAGCTTTATAAAACCATTTCTTGAGCTTCATTTATCTTTCAGGAATTTGTTAAGATATCAAAGTGGAATGATGTGAGCTTCTGGTCCATTAAACAGTCTGTGGAAAAGACACATAGGTAATTTATATTTTAAAACTAGGGCGACTAAAACTCATAATTTTGTATGGTAGATAGCAAGACTACATTATTACTGTGGTCTGGCTTTGAACTTCTAAAAACCCCCTATGTGGCTTTCCTATACCTGGTCCAGTTGGCCAGAGCAGGAAGAATGGGTATGCCTTGATTGAAAGTATGCTGTGTAGTCTGGAGAGACTGACCTTCTGTTACCTACTAACTGTTCATCTTGAGCAAAGCAACCCCACCATTCCTAGCTTCAATACTTTCTTCTAAAAAGGGGGGGGGGGCATGACAAATTTGCTATATTTCTTGTTTGTTTGTTTAAAAACAAACAAAAAAAATGATTGTGAATATCTAAGATCATTGTATACAAAAGATACAGATACTTATGATGCATTTTAAATTTTTAAAAATATTTCACTTTGCAATCAATTTTTGTCTTATCTCTGTTACCACCCGGGGTCAGAACCCTGTTTAAATTCATGAAGAAATTTGAAGCTGTCCTGAGTGAACCCTGCCGGTCATCCTTGGTGGAGAGTGACAAGGAGGAAAAGCCTGACTGTTTGCCCAGTCCAACAGATGAAGCCGCAAGTGAGGCATCTCCTATCCAGAGTCTGAACAGGGCACTGAGGGAGACCCTGTTAGCCCAGCCAGCAGCTGACCAGGTAACTAGCTTGTGGGACTGTGTGCTTATTCCATCAACCAGTCAGATAGAATCTGTTCTGTTTCTAAGTAGTGACCTGGGAAGTAGACAAGGAAATGCCTTTGAAGTTCTGTTCTTTGGTTGTGTTTAATATTTGTTTACCTGACTCTGCTGCAGGATAAGGCAGTAGACATTGTTCTTGCTGCTAAAAGTTTAATGTTAGCCTGTGGGAAATAATTGTTGTGGTTTTCTGAGAACATTTCATTCATCTACCTATAAGGGAAGATTTTGAGCATCAGTTTAAGAAGATGCCATTGAGGCTGCCTTTGGTGCCACTTGAGGAAGCTGCTGCCCAGGGGTGAATGTATGCAGTGAATAGCTTGCTGGTTCTTAGTGGTTGCTGGTTATTACGGTATAAATATTTCTACCAGGTGTAACTAAAAATATATATATTTCTACCAGGGCTGGTTTCCAACACCACAGTTGGCTTGCAAAATTCCTGAAAATGTGACAGATCCTGAGTGAACAGGTCTGTTGTAGGATGGTGGTTCCAGCTGTTCCCCTTGGTGTTGGAGCTTCAGGATTGGGGAACATTTCCTCAGGGGAGTTATTTCTTTTGGCTTCTTGATGGACTTAAACTTCCATGTTCAAAGAGTTAGTAATGGAGATCACTGAGCTATTTTAATTAATTTATTCAGTACAGATACAGTTTTTTCCTGAATATTTTTTATTATACTTGGTTGGCTCTGTATTTTTCATGTTGATCTGCTATCATTTGGGAGTTCTTATCCCCCTAGTAGACCATGAGCTCTTTGATGGTAAGGACTGTGTCTTGGTTGCTGCTGCATTCACTGAGCTATTTTAATATTGTAATAGTTCCAAAGCATTACAGAAAGCCACATATGGCTGTATAGCTATCATATAGCACTCAAATTTCTTTTCTTTTTACTATATATATCTGCTTCTGTCATTCTGGTTAAAACTTTTGATTCGCTAATGATAGTAGCATAGGAATTGCATGGATTCTTCAGGAAAAAAACAAAAAGAAAAATATTCCTCAGGGCATAGAGGCCCTTCATCTAACATTTGAATTCCTCATATTTGAACTGTTGCTTAGAAATTGGAGGGCAGGGTAGATGGTAGGAGAAGTAGAATGTGGTAGACCAGTTTTGCCTTGATTGTTTGTCTGAGAGACAACAATGTGGCATAATTCAGTACCTTAATAAGGGCAACAGTTATATTTATTCATTCTTCCATATTTGTAGATCAAAACCAGAGTCTCCTTGTGACTAGAATAGAAAGTCTTGCTTGGTGTAGGGGGTGTCCTTGTGTTTCAGTGCTCAAATGCAAAGCAGTAATGCAATTCCTGAAATATTCATAGTATATGTCTTGTTTTAACTCTGGTGCTACATGTATTCTCATGAGACTTCTGTGGTGGTGTTAACTTTATATTTGCTGAGCTGGGGGTTGGGGCATGATGTATACATATGCACTGTTTAAATTTAGCACCTATGCAAGTTAAAACTGTTACTGTCATTCTTGGCAGTGAGGCTAACCTGTACACTCTCTCATAGGCCACAATTCCAGAACAGCAACAGGGTGCTACTCCTTTCTCTGTAGAAGGAAAACTTCTGCGTCGCTTGCCAAAGCTCATGAAACGAATGAGGAAGATATGCCTGACATTCATGAAAGAGAGTCCGCTGCCTCACCTCGTGGAGGGATTTGATCAGTTCACTGGTGGGTGCCAGAGGCCAAGGTGGAACCTGCTCGCTCTCAGTTCCCCAGGGGTCCAGGAGGGCTGGGAAATGTGGTACCTGTGTTATTTTTTAATGTCTTATATAGCATTAGTTAACTGAATAAGTGGTGGGCTAAAAGCTAGTAGAGCCCAAAGAGAGGAGCCCACTGAGAACACACAAACTCTTCTCATTTTCATCGTGTCATCCTTGGATGTAAACTAGTGATAACTGTGTTGCCTAGGATGGTCTCAAACCCTTGGGTTTAAGTGATCATCCTGCCTCAGCCTCCTAAGTAGCTGGGACTCTAAGCATGTGCCACCATTTGCAGCCTGGCCATTTTCTATAACAGTCCATCTATGCTAGTTCTTGTTGGCTGCGGGCATGAGTGAAGGGACACAGAGGTGGGTTTCCCAGAGTCCTAAGCTATCCCCATCTCTCAAAATTTCTCCCTTGAATAAAATGAGAAGAAGAATTCATCCACTGTCTTCCTCTTGCTTTCTTCATTTCAGAGAAATGTTGTAGTTTCTTTTCCAGCTGTCCTTACTCAGGGCAGTACAAGAATAAGAGAACCAAAATCTGCTCAGTTGTCTAATATAGCAGTAGATGGGAGGGAATCCATATCTTAATAGATAGTTTTGGCTTTGGGGAGCCTTTTACCACCTGCCTCATCCCTATCCAACTCTGGCCAGCCTTCTTTTAATTAGCCCTCAATCTGAAGTTGAGGGATCTCTTGGTTTTAACAGCTTAAATAGAATAATAGCCTGCTAACTATCATTCAAAGTGACCTATCCCTGGGCCCGTTGATGGGAGTGAATGGAACACAGATCTAGGTGCATCTCTTGGATGCCCAGCCCTCCAAGTGTGCATTTGTCCTCATCTCATAACTGCTTGTATTAGATCTGCCAAAGTAGCCTTAACAGCATATGACAGGCTGAGTGGCTTAACCAGCAGAAATTTATTGTGTCACAAATCCGTAAGCCTAAGGTCAACATGTCAGCAGAGTTGATTTCTTCTTCTAAGACCTTCTCTGCTTACAGATGGTCACCTTCCCACTCTGTTCTCACATGTCATTCTTCATCTGTTTTCTTTGTGTCCTAATCCCTTCTTTGGGGGACTCTAGTAGGATTAAGTTAGGGTGTGCCCTCATTTTACTTATATCTTTAAAGGCCCTATCCAAATATAGTCACATTCTGAGATATTAGGGGTTAGGACTTTCACGCAGGAATTTTGTGGAGCTGAGCATAATTCTGTGGCAAAATGGCAGCATCCTCATGTCATAGGTACCCTTGTGTATTCAGGAAGGCAGTGGTGCTATAAAGAATTTGAGTTTTGGAGTTGGGTAGACCAGAGCCGATATCCTGATTCAGCCACTCATTAGATGAATGGCCTTTAGAAAATTACCAGATCTCTTTGAGCCTTTAAGTCTGTAAAATGGATGCTGCAAATAAGTGCTTCTGAAATTGTGCGGATACAAGAGCATTTACCAAGTACTGGCTTAGAGTAGGAACTTAATACATACTGTGTTGTTTTTCTTTTTTTTTTCTTTTTACCCCTATTTCCAGGCATCTTGACCAGTTTCATTCAAACACATATTGAGCATTTGCCAATTGGTAGCTGTGTTGCCTAGGATGGTCTCAAACCTGTGGGCTTAAGTGATCCCACTGCCTCAGCCTCCTGAGTAGCTAGGACTCTAAACATGTACCACCACTTGCAGCGTGGCCATTTTCTATAATAGCCCATCTAGATACCATGTAAGGTACCTAGATAATAGAGGTCAGTGGTACCTAGTCCTCATTGCCACAAAATATCCTTGGTTTTGAGTAACTTGACAATAAGCCCCTAGAATTTTCTTTTTTTGTCTCATAGGTGAAGTGATTTCTTCTGTAAATGAGCTGCAGAGCTTAAAAGTGGAGCCCTCTGCAGAAAAGGAGAAGCAGCAGTCAGAAGCCAAGCATATTCTCATGCAGAAGCAGCGAGCTTTATCAGACCTCTTTAAACACCTTGCAAAAACTGGTAAGGTACTCACCAAAAATACTAAGAAATAAAATCAGCTTTTGGGGGAAGAAAACAAATATGGTTGATTTGGAAGAATTCTGGAGGCAGTTGAAACAGTGTCTGGAAAACAAAATGATGGGTAAGGTTTTAAAATGTCATTCAAGAGTTCTAGTTGCTTATGCAGGAAAATCCTATCACAAATCATTGATTCCCAGATGTTTTCAGTTTTATAGTAAGATCTCTTATAATATATTGTATAGTACCCATCTTTCCAACACAGAATAGAGAGCAGTGTTTCCCAAATTAGTAATTACTAAGTTTACAAGTCACCTGGGGAATCGTGTTAAAGTATAGGCACTGATCCTGTTTCAGTTGATGTGGAGCAGGGCCTGAGTTTGCATTTCTGATAAACTTCTGGGTGATGCTGTTCACAGGACTTTGAGTGGCAGAGGTAAAGGGGGCATATCTGTTCTCCCTGGGTTTCTTTGCTTAACTGAATGAATGCTGTTTCCTAGGTTTGTCATATCGCAAAGGTCTTGCCTGGGCCCGTTCAAAAACTCCTCAAGAGATGCTTCATCTTCACCCATTAGATCTCCGGAGTGCATTGTCCATAGTCAGCAGCACTCAGGAGGCTGATTCTAGGTTGGTTTATTTGTTTGTTTGTTTAATTACAAATGGACCAAGTCATTCAGGCCTCCATGTCCTCATTTGCCAATACGAGGACAATAATGTCTCTCTGTCTGGCAGAGTTGTTGTAAAGAGTAAGAAAGATACCACTCATCAAAGTGCATGGTTTAGGATCTGGCATCTGATGAACATTCAGTAAATGTTAAATTTTCTGCTTTCTTTCCCCTTCTTTGTATTTACCTCTCCTGTTTTGTTTTTTTTGTTGTTGTTTGTTTGTTTGTGGGGTTTTTATTGTTGTTTTGGCTAAAGCACATGTTCTACCACTGAGCTATACCCCATCCAGCCCTTGTTCTCTTTTTCTGGTCCTTTGATTTTCCTGAGGTCTGCTGATTTGATTCGAATGTGAAAGAATGGCCACAATTTTCACTGCCTCTAATATATCCAAGTTTTAATATATTCTCAAATATAAGATTCCGTAAACTTTTGAAACAAAACAGAGCTTGCTTTCCCTCCTTCCCTCCTTACCCAGGGGCACTTAACCACCAAGCCTCATCATTAGCCCTTTATCTTTTATTTTGAGACAGGTCTCAGTAAGTTGCTTAGGGCCTCACTAAGTTGCTGAGGCTGGCTTTCAACTCCTGATACTCCTGCCTCAACCTCCCTAACAGCTGGGATTATAGGCATGTACCACCATGCCCCAGCAAACAGAGATGTTTGTATGTTAATATTCACACAAACCTTGTTGTAAGTGATGATTTGCATGTGTTTTGTTTGTTTAGTGGCTCTCTTAAGGCTTAAATTTGAATGCAACATAGCATTGTAAAAAGAGGAAATTGTATACTAACATTGGATTTTTAGTTTTTTAAGATAATCTGCCATGTGGGCTTGCTAGAGCTAAGTCATGTATTCTCTAGTTTGCTTTAGTCTTCAGCAACCCCCACATTGAGGTCAGCTGTCACTGCCATGTATCATTCCGTGCTTTGTTGTCATTAATCATTGATTTTATCTACCTAGCCCTTGTAAACCAGAATTTGTGGCCCCCAACCTCCACTGACAAGATAGTTTTAAAGATTTCATTGAGGAAATCATATGGTCATCAAATTGATTTACCTATCATACTTCTGGTATTAAATATAAAACACATCCTTCATATACAGGAAGAATGAATATCTGACTGAGTGAATCCTAATAACAAATCTATATAGACTATTTGCTTTTGATTGTGGACAAATAATAGATTAAATTTCTGAGTCTTCAAGATCTGGGGTGGGAGATTATGGTTTTAATTAAGTAATTAATTGTTGATTTATTTTTCAGGCTTCTTACAGAAATCTCGTCTTCTTGGGATGGGTGCCAGAAGTATTTCTATCGCTCTCTTGCAAGGCATGCCAGGCTTAACATAGCCCTTGCAACTCCTGCCAAGGTAGAATAATAGAGTATGAGAATTGCAAGGGTCTAGGGAAAGCTCCTATTCATCCCAGGGTTGCATTCTCGGACCTTGTAAATGATAGCAGCCTATTAGTGGAAGCAACTGAGCTTTTGCAAAACTCATTAAACTCAAAATATAATAAATCAGTATAATTTTGTGCTAAGTCATGCCCCCTAAACCTGCCTCTGCCCGCCATCCAGGTTCTCTACCACTGAGCTACAACCCCAGATCTTTTTATTTTGAAACAGGCTCTAAGTTGCTGAGGCTGGCATTAGACTTGTGATCCTTCTGCTTCAGCCTTCTGAGTATCTGGGATTACAGGCATTTGCCAACAGGACCAAGTATATAATAAGAAAAATATGAAAGAAAGACTTCACATGTGCCATCTTAATCTTTAACACTTAATCGTAGTTCGTATTGATGGAATAGCAGTGATATGTGGAAGCATAATCTGGGAATCAAGGCTCATAAAGATTCATGTAGTCCTTCTAGAATGCAGCACATCCTCAGCTTATATAAACAAGAGTCTCTACCCTGAGAGTTTTTCTTAAAAAACAATAGCTTTCTTTTAGAGCCTCCCTGGCTCTAAAAGCAACACCTCCCGCATGCTTTTCTTTCTCCTTCTGCCAGGAGATGGGCCTAGGCAACATTGAGAGGTGTAAAGGGTTCTCGGCACACTTGATGAAGATGCTCATCCAACAGCGGCGCTCCCTGACCACTCTGACTGAGCAGTGGATTATTCTCAGGTATCAGCTGACAAGTTGGGTTATAGCAAATTAGCATAGTGCAAATGTGTACAACAACTCACTAGCTGCAAGTGGTGAGGGGAATAAGACCTGCTTTCAACTGTGAAATGAATGTGAGACCCCGGTAAGAGGACAGATTTTTTCTTGACTCTGCAGCTTGGTTTTGGCAGTATTCCTATGGCCCCGTTCTTCCTGCTTTCTCTGGCCACACCTTTTGAGAGAATGAGGCCTAGGAAATGCATTCAGGGCTGAGTTAGAGAAAATTGTCATAGGTGAACTACACTTGGGTCTGGAATGAGGACGTTGGTTGTTGAAAGTCCAAATCCCTTTGGGCTGATAAGGTTGTGTTTGTAATTAGGACATCATCACCTATGGACAGAGATCAGATTCGAGTCTGTTTCTGATGGTTAGCATTTGAGAATCCTCAAGTGGCAATTTGCTGAGCCATATATGGATGTTCCTCAATAGAAACACATAATTAAAAGATGAATACAATTAGGAAGGCTGTCGTCATCTGTTGAATGGATTCTTGGCTGAAAGACTTGCTTCACTTTGGCTTCATCTATTTTCTGCTCCATTTGTTAGGATTTATTTCATAAAGTGTCATACATTTACTAGATATTAGTAGTTGAAATTCCTGCAGTGATGTGATTTTGTGTTGGTTTTCAGAAGGCTCTAAGTAAGAATCAGGTAACAAGCCATTAATTTTGATACCTCTTCTGAAAGACCAACCTTGTGTTTAAATGCTCTAAGAGGCATTTTAGCAGACTTCATACTTATCTAGGGTATTTTTTTTTTCTTTTTCTTTTTTGAGGTGCTGAGAATCAAACCCAGGGCCTTATACATGATAGGCAAGTGCTGTACCACTGAGCTACAACACAGCCCTTCTTATTTACATGGAAAAGCCCACGCTTGTCTAAAGCATACAAATTTATTATTAAAAACAACACAGTGACGTGGTTGAAAATACTATTGTGTTTTCCTTATGGTTTTTCTGCACAGGAACCTTCTCTGCTGTGTACAGGAGATTCACAACAGGTTGACAAGGCCTCTGGTCTACCCTGTGGCCTTTCCACCTCAGGACAGTATGCAGCAGTGGACAGAGCGGCTACAGCACCTGGCCATGCAGATCCAGATTCTGCTCGAGCAGCTTTCCTGGCTCCTCCAGTGCTGTCCTACTGCAGGACCAGCTGCAGGCCATGGAAATGCTCCATTCCAGGGTCAGCCTACTGACATCCACCTGGAAAAACCAGAACTCATCAAGGGACAGCTGTCCGGAGCAGTTCCAGACTTGATTCCCTTTTATCTAAGCTACCCATCCCCAGTACCTGGAAGTCAACTACCCTCTGGTTGCCGTATGCGGAAACAAGACGAGCTTTGGCAACAGTCAGTTGCAAAGTTAACAGAAATGCTGAAAACGATTAAAACAGTGAAAGCTAATGTTGACAAAATTAGACAGCAGTCTTGTGAGACCCTCTTTCATTCATGGTGAGTGTGTCTATCCTTATTCTTAGGTGCTTAGGTTCTTATTCAGAGTTTAGTCATAGGATAAAATTATGAAAAGAATTATGCTTGGGTCCATTGTTGTTCAGTTTATCTACATGGCACTTGGTGGTATATATCTAACCTTCAGATACAGTGGGTTTTATCCTGCATACATTTTAGTGGGTTAGAAGGAGAGGTGTGGGCGGTGGGTAGCCCCTTCCTTCCAACATTCTGGCATTTCTGTTGCAGGAAAGATTTTGAAGTTTGCTCTTCTGGGCTGAGTTGCCTGTCCCAAGTATCAGCTCATTTGCAAAGCCTAGAGTCCTTGTTCATTATTCCAGGGATAGAGGTTGAGCAAACAAAACCACAAATGAGTTTAGTCGAAAGCCTGGAATATGTAAGAAGAGAAATCAGTAAAGCTGTTGATGACTTTACTACTTGGAAAACACATCTGCTCACTTCAGGCAGCCATGGAGGTGAGAATTATTCAGAAAGGAAGAAGTGAAAATTCAACATAGAATGATGTCTTGTAGATTTAAGTCTGGGTTATGTTTTGTTCTAAATATATCTGTCCGGGGTCCTAAGATAGGAAGTATGGTTAGAATTGGCTCTCAATCTTTTTTGTCTCGCTTGTTTGAATGCCTTGTCTTTAGGTGGTATCCTGTTGCGTGCTTTGATGCACACAGGTAGAAAGGCAGCACATGCTGACCGTCACAGTTCTCTCTAAGGTTGAAAAGCTTGCGAGTAAAGTTGGTGTTTATACTCACCATCTTAACTGCTACTTTCATATTTTTAGCATTTTTGGCAAAATCATTTAATATCAGATGATAAATTTGTAGGTTTGTCTAGGCAAGGAATGTGTCTTGGTGTAAACCTTGCATCCAGCACAGCTTGACACGATGGTGGTACACCAAATAGAAAGTGCTCAAAGTGGCCATTTGTTAAATAATAAAAGTATTGTTGATGATTTTCAGAGGTATCAAAGCTAGTGATTGGTTTTTGTTTTGCATTGTGCTACTTACTAGGACACCCAATGTTGGATGAAAACTTCACTGAAGATTTTGCAGAACAAATGGAAACTGCCATCCGGGCCATTCTTTGTGCCATCCAGAACTTAGCAGGAAAAAACAGTGAAAACGCAGAGGAAAGTGTTGACCAAAAAAGACCACAGGAAGAGGATGGTAAGTCTGAAGTCAGGCAAAAATTAGTTTTTATAATTGGTTCAGTTTTTGTATTTAATGTAATTCTGTATGGCTAAATAGTTAAGAATAAATATTAGAAATAGATGACTGTCTATGAATAGAGATAAAAGCATTTATTTTTCTGTTGTTTGCCATGTTATTTTCTCTGAACGAAAGAGGGAGCAATCTTTGAGAGACTACACCCAGGACATCTAACAAAACTCTTAGAAGATGACTTCTGGGCCAGTGTGAGCACTTTACATGTACAGAAAATAATTTCTGCCATCTCTGAGCTATTGGAGAGGCTAAAATCATACAGTGAGGATGGAACCACATCAAAGCACACGGTAACCAGCTTCTTTACATACTTCTTGCTCTTCAGAATGGGCTGAGCAAAGGAAAAGTCGGGGGAGGCCCAAAGCAGGACTCAGTGCCAAAACCACTAAGAATTTGGTATAATTTTAAATGTAAATATCATTGACAAGCTTTGATAACAACTTAGGGTTTGCTTGCTAAGGGCTACAATTGTGAGATGCATAGGTACAGAAATTAACAATCCAGAATATTGATTAAGATTCTTTCATATCCAAATCATGTACTCCCAGGTATCTGTTGCTAATGGTGGATGTTGCCACCATCAGTGAGATTTAACAGCCATCTTCTGCAAACACCATTCCCTTCACAAAAAGCCAGCAGAGAAGTTGTTGCCTCTGTAATAAGTCTAGAGAAGCAGCTTATATTGTAGGACATTGTAAGTTATTCTGCAGTATTGCCTCTAGTGTCAAATTTGATTTCCTCGTAGAATTTATTTATAAAAATTTATTTTAAAACAACTTTTAAGTAAATGACACTGCAGTAACTGAGAATTTGAAGGATACTTTTTGAGAGTTTATGTGAACAAGGAAGAAATTTCAGTGAGCTGTGAGTGGTTGGTATGCAAACGTGTGACTCACCAGCAGTGACATGTAGCACATTCACAAAGCCATAAAACCATTGTTCCTATCTAGATCTAGAAAGTTTTTTATCTCCCCAAAGGAATAGCAGCGGAAGCAGGCCTTTTGGTTTCTCTTTGTCACCAGGTCTTCAACCAGGCCTGTGGCTTGTTGGTGCGCCTAGTGCCCATGCTGTACAGCTTCTCAGACCTTGTGCTCTTCTTCTTGACCATGTCTCTGGCAACTCACCGGAGTACTGCGAAACTGCTCTCTGTGCTTGCCCAGATCTTTACAGAGCTCGTCCAGAAGGTAAGGACTATTCACATGGAACACCATGGAGCAGCAGGGACCCAAATATTCTGTATCCTTCAGAGTGTTTGGTTTGATAGGCTTTTATTTTGAACCAACACAAATAGCAGGAGCTGATTTACTCTTCCTACAGAGTGTAGGCCTTTGTCTGGCACCTGTTTACTAAACCTGTTTCCACTAAGATCTTGGAACTTACAAACCTCCACTGATGAATTCCCTCAACTCCACAGGTTATCTAAAACCTGCTGCTGTCTATTAACACAGCCTTCCCTCCTGGGCCCCAATTTGAAGCCTTCAGGCAACTCTTAACCTACAACACCTGTGGGATGAATCTTTAAGACTATTAGGTTTGCTTTAGACTAGATAGATGATAAAGGGGCTCTTGGTATTAGGAGGAGGGTTTTTTTCTTTTTATAAGGAAGTACCTCATTTATTCAACTACATAGCCAGGACTATGAAGAGCACCAATGTTGTGGAGATTATAGATTCTGGGCAGAAGACGGTGAAATCCAATAGACATAGCATTGCTATAGAAGGTGTAGTCATGAATGTTCAGTTTGGGGACTCTTAAGTTTGTCACTTACCCCCTACAGGCCATAATTTCCTTGTTTTGTGAAGTGATATTTGCCTACACTTATACGCTTTTTGTTTTGGTGGGGGAGGTGGGAGGTGTTACTGGGGGATGAACTCTGGGGTGCTCAACCACTGAGTTACATCCCTAGCCCTTTTTATTTTGAGATAGGCTCTCGCTAAGTTACTTAGGGCTTTGCTAAATTGCTGACGATGGCTTTGAACTTGCCTTAGCCTCCCTAGTCACTGGGATTACAGGCATGTGCCACCATCTCCACTTTCCTTTACTTGGAAGCATTTTTTTATGAGAACCACCTTCCAGTGAGTTTTGTTTTGTTTCCTCTTTAGTATTCTGGGATTTTCTTCAAATCTAAGTATAATACAGTTTACTTGAAGAAGATATGAATTTGCAACTGAGGATGGGGTTTGGACTTTTATAAACACTCAAAAATTCTTTGTCTCTGAAATACTGGAAAGAGTTGAAAAGTAGGAGGCAACCAGTGCCTCGTATTATTTGTCTTTGAAGTGATAGGTTATTTATTGAACCTCAAGTTTGTCCCTCCAATCTTACATTGCATCACTTCTTGAAGAAAACACTGCAAAAGATAGCAGTAATCAGTGTGTGAAGGTGCACTCCCATAATCCTAGCAACTTAATAAAGAGTTTGTGACAGGAGGATGGCCAGTTCAAGACTAGCCTCAGCAACGTGGTGAGATCCTGTCTCAAAATAAAAAGGACTGGGAATATAGCTCAGTGTCAGAGTGTCCCTGGGTCCAACCCCCAGTAACAACAACAACAAAAAAAAAGAAGAAGAAGAAGAAGAAGAAGAAGAAAAAATAGTGGCAGGATAGTAGGTGTAGGAAGGGTGCTTTGAGACAGGATCAGCTACATTTGTCCATTTATACTGTTGCTCTTATCTGACAGACTCTAGAATGACTGGCATGACAGACCTATGTACTTTGGGGTAGGGCCCTGGGCATGGGAAAATTCTGATGCCACCAACATGTCAGAAGCCCAGGGACTGTCCCAGATGGAGCTACTGTAGTGATGTATGCCCTCAGGAGGATATTTGAATTACCTTCTTGTGAGGTCCCTCTTTCTCCCTACATTTGAACATACCTCTTTCAAAACAACTTAGCTCAATGGGAAACTTAAATAAGTTAATAAAAATGTATTTTCTTATTAATTTTCTGAGACATGAGTTAGCCTTTTCTTTTAATGTCCAAATTGTATTCAGATCCTCTGAGTAGTGCTGAGGGAACTTGAAAGTAGGTTAACGCTTCAGTAGTAGATTTAGGTGCACAGAAAGCCATTTCTGCATAACCAAGTCAAAAATCAGGGTTCATTGATCTTAGATCTTAATTCACTACTAGTTGGCAGTTTACTTTTTAGTACATTTTCATCCTCAGACTTATTCTTGATAGCATGTATTTTCTCTTAAAAAATTAAAATGTCAGAGCCATTACTACTTTTCCGTTTTACTTCTGTCCCACAGGCTGATAGTTTTTCAAGCTATTTTTGGATATGAAACAGTTTTGTTGACTCTTCAAGATTGTTACCGAACCTGACTGTGTTGTTCTTTCCAGATCCCTGTCTGTGCTGGCTCAATGACTTGCTTCTAAATAATATGTTCCTAGTATGTTTCATTCAAAATTTTGTTTTGGCAAAGTAATATATTATCACATGCCAAAGGCCTGTACGAAGTCAAAGTCTTGTATAAAATCTGATGTCAAACTGAAATTACATAGTAACTATTATCACCAGGGGAGAAAGAATTACAAAAGTCTACTATACTTCCATCCGGTTTAAGATAACTGAGCTAGAAAAAGAATCAAACATTTAATTTTTTTTTTCCTTTGGCAGGACTGGAAACACTCTTAAATTGTTTTTGTGCCTAACTATTCACTCCATTTTTTCCTAAGGGATTTTGCCTGCCCGCAGAATTTATGGAAGATCCAGCAGGAGAAGGAACAGCTAAATTCCATGACTATGAGGGAGGTGGAATTGGAGAAGGTGAAGGCATGAAGGATGTGAGTGACCAGATAGAAAATGAGGAACAGGTATGTATTCTCATGCATGAAATATGTGGACAGATTACAGAAGGTGACTTCCTCTCTCAAGTCATACATATATAATGATTTTTACTAAGTTATTGGTTTTCAGACTGATACTTATGGATATTGGCACTTAAGTGATAAGTATAAATTAAAAACCTGAAAGTTACAGAAAGCACTTTTGCAATTCAGTCATTGGTGATAGCTATAACTCTGAAGGGCATGACTTTACAATTTTATTTTAAGTGGAGTAGTAGTATTTGCTAATGATTTCTACAGAGTATTTTTTTGGTAGTTGTACTTTTAAGGATAAAAAGTTTGGCTGTTTTAAGTGATAATTACTTTAAATAATAATACCGAAGCTCACTAATAGGCTTTGTCATATGTCTTAAAGACATGTTTAGAATTGAGATTTTATTACTTTTGCATTTCAAAAAGGGACAATTAAATATCAACCTACTAGTGAAAGAGATAACAATCATAAATCTTTTTGTTCAAAATCTTAAATTACATAGGAATGTGTAAATTAAGGAAAAGTGAATGAAATTATATTCACATTGGGGCACTCTTTCAGAGATCAGATGACAAATATAAAAGATTTAGATAAATAATACTTTTGTATCTTACAAAAGAAAATCTGAACAAAATTCGACATTTTCTGATCACAAGCAATAAAGTGAAAATTAACTTCAGAAATGAAAAACAAATAGGGAGAGAGGAAGGAAAGTAAAGGGAAGGTACTGGGTACAAAATTACGTTATCTGCATGTATATCAATGAATCCCACTAATATGTAGAATTATAATGCAGCAATAGAAATTATTTTAGTTCAACGGATGTAGTTCATGTTAGAGCACTTGCCTTTCATGTGTGAAGCCCTGGGTTCAATCACCAGTACTCCTCTAAAATATCTTTTTTTTTTTTTTAAGAAATATAAAACTTACAAATTATTTCAATGTTTCTCCCCCTCAGGTTTTTTTTTTTTTTCTTTCTTCTCTCTCTCTCCCCAGAGATAAGAGTACACCATTAACCTGGGCATTTATATTCTAGAACTAAAGAATATAAACTTTACATTAGTAAAGTTACGACATTTATAGTTTCTATAATACTTTTTTAAGACTTTTTTATAATTGTGCATGGACACAATATCTTTATTTTTATGTGGTGCTGAGGATCGCAGACCCATTGCCTCACATGTGCAAGGCAAGTGCTCTGCCACTGAGCCACAACCCCAGCCCATCTATAATGCTTTTTGATACAGGTGGAAGATTCATTTCAGAATGGTCAAGAAAATGATAAAGAAGATCCCAACTCAAAATCTGATATTAAGGGCGAGGATAATGCCATTGAAATGTCAGAAGACTTTGAGGGGAAAATACATGATGGAGAGCTTGAAGAACAAGGTTTGAAATGAACTCTCACTGCATTCTTGTTTTTGAAAACAATTTTATCCAGGAATACAGGTTCTCAGTAAGATGCCTATTATAGTTGTTTGAGACAAGTTTGTTATTCTGCATAACTACAGATGAAAACCTCAGCACCTGCATGTGCCATCAAATTAGCAGATCCTTCATCTCTTGAGTGAACTAAGATCCTGCCTGCCTCATGTGCTCAGTACTTCCCTAGAGGGAAACCCAAGAGACTAAGGAGATGTCTCTTAACAACTTGGCAGTTAATGCAAATTATCCTGGATAGTTTAAAAAAAAAAAAGAACCTTTTCCCCCTAGTTAAAAAAAAAAAAGTAGTTTGATGGAATGAAAATTTAGGAAAGAAAAAATACCCCTTAGACCCACTACCCAAGCCATTTAATAAATTCTGGTGTATTTCTTTCCATTTATGGCATATCTATGCACACACAAGAGCATTTATAGATCTATAGCCTTTTTTAAACATTTATGAACATTTCCCTTGTCATTAAAAATTGAGAATATGAGTTCTTATCATCTGCCATATGTTTACACCACAATTCATTTCTTACCCTAAATTTTCATCTAATGTTAATTTGAAATGTAATTATCTTATTCTAAATAAAATCTTATAAAAATAAATGCTGACCTTAGAGTAGAAGTGTATGCTTGCCTGTGGAGTATAATTTTTGGCAAAGCAGACCTTGAGCAAAGACAAAAAGGCAAGAACATTTTAATTAACTGATCTAGGCCTGATTTTTGATGTTGGACAAAATCATAGAAGTGCAGTATATTGGAGATGGGAGAGGATCCTTGGAAATCATTATTTCAAAGATAGGAAACTAAAGCCCATTAAAGTTATATATCCCCACACCAGAATCAGACATTAATTCCACCACTTTTACTATTTATTTATACATTATTTCTCCACACAGTTTGCAAAATAAACTACTTGAGTAGATCTGAAGTAGAATATTCTGGAGGAACAGGAAGTTAAGTCCTACACGGGACCATTGCCCAGAAGTGGTCCTATGCTCTTACACACATAGGACCACGTTAGAGATCTGCCTAACTAAGCTCAGTGCCTTCCCTTTCAGAAGAGGATGATGAAAAGTCAGATAGTGAGGGCGGAGACCTGGATAAACAGATGGGCGATCTCAATGGTGAGGAAGCTGACAAACTTGATGAGAGGCTTTGGGGTGATGAGGAGCAGGAAGATGAGGAGGAAGAAGACAATAAAACTGAAGAAACAGGACCAGGAATGGATGAGGTAATTAAGATTCCTGCATCCCAAAGTCCTTAGGCCAAGAAGAGGTGCTCTTCCCAACACCTGCCACTCCGTGCTTTTTCTTTTCATTTTCTCTTTCTTCCATCCTCTTTTACTTTTTTTTCCTCTTAACATATTGTATTTAGAGCTTGACCCAAGTCATCTTGTTATGGAGGAGGGAAATAAAGAAGATCGGTGCAGATCCTCTAAGCTGATTCTCCTATCTTCCACTGAATTTCTCCAGCTCCCAGTTTAGGGGAATTATAGGGCTGCATATAACACTGTAGTGCAGAGTGTGATGCATCTAATTATTATACCCACCATTGACATACTAGTATTCTTGCTGCTATCTGGAAAGATTGGATTCTTCTCCAGATTATGATCTGTGGGGTGGAAATTAGTCATATCTAAAGGCTACATTGGGGAGAATTCAACCATGTAAAAGCAGTTTCTTGGATTGAGTATGATGATTTGGATTTTTTTCTTCTTTTGATATTTAGGAAGACTCTGAACTTGTTGCTAAAGATGACAACTTGGATGCTGGGAATTTGAACAAAGATAAAAAACAGAAAAATAAGAAAGAAGAAAAGGAAGAAGCAGAATCCAATGAGGAGGGACAAGGCCAAGATAAAATTAATGAACAAATAGATGAGGTAAAAAGGATTTGAAATTGCTCTGTTCCCCTGACTTTAAGACCAAGGCCCCTCAGAGCACTACAACGTTCTTGGGAGTATTTTATGACAGTTTTTCCTATTCATTAATTGCTCTCCCCTTGCTGCATTAAAGAAATGTACAACAAAGGCTCTTAGCAGGACACAAAATACTAATAGTTGGTTACTGACAAGGCCGTCTATATGCTGTTTGGGTTCATGCTGTAGTTTGGAAGCTAAAACCTGTAATTCTTATTTCTTCTCACAAGTTTCTGTTTTGAGATTGAGTAACACAGGGCCTATTATCCTTAGAGATCCTAACAGAAGGTGAAATTTTAAATTCTAACATGAATGGTCTAAAAATATTAAAATACTAAAGTATGCTAATAATTATAGGGAAGGAAAGACATTGTATTATTCTCATGGTGTAGTATAAATAGAGCTAATTTTATGTGCATTACTGTTTTTTAGTCCTTTTTTCCTCTCTTTTTATTGCTCAAAGAGAGAATATGATGAAAATGAAGTGGACCCTTACCATGGCAATCAGGAAAAGCTGCCAGAACCTGAGGCTCTGGACCTTCCAGATGACTTGAATCTTGACAGTGAAGACAAGAATGGTAGTGAAGACACAGACAATGAGGAAGCAGAAGGTGCGTCTTTCCTGCAAAGCCAGTTGGAAATCATTGTCATTGACAGCAATAACTGATTTCAGAGAGCTAGCCAGGTGTCACAGCCTGTTGATAAGTATTGTTTGATCAGCTCAGTCCCAATTTGAGAAAATTATTGACTTTTTTCTTTGTAGTATTTCTCATGTAGTAGACCTACAGTTCATAAACCAACAGATTTTGCTGCTATTATTTCTTGTCTTATTTTGGTAATACTCACCCTGGGGGTGCTTTGCCACACACATTACTCTCTCTCCAAAGACATTACCATGTTGCCATCTTGTGAGTGGATGTAAACATTCTGCAGTCTCGTTATACCCAGACCTCTCATGTAACCCAGTTATAGTTCTTTGAGGGATATGATGGTGTTATTGACTGTCATGTGTTTATTCTAAAATATGATGTCATTATAATATGGAATAAGACTAAATAATCTAAAGAAAATCACATGACAGTAATCTAGTGTCTCCCTTGCCAATTTTTTAACCTTACTGCCTCCTCTAGGGTGTACTGTCTGGTATTAGTTAAAAGCACTTTGTAGGAGGTACCCCCATAATAGAGGGTCCCTATTCATTCTAATTAGCCAGACAGAAAGATGCAAGTTAGCTTCCACTCTAATTTGAATGAGTTATGTACTTAGGGAAAAAATTTGCATGTGTGTGTATGTGTGTATCATATTGGAACAAAAATTGCTAGTTAGAAAAGAATGAATAAGAGGTACCATTATGTAAAAAATTAATTTTGGAATCTGACTTCAATCCAGGAGTCAAAAACCAAGCAAGCATTAAATAAAGATTAAAATCCACTAAGAGTGTAATAAGCTTAAAATATACAAGCTCATTTGGGCTATTATTTATGAATTAGGGAGCAATTATCTTAAAAAATTATTTACTAAATAAAATAACTGATAAAGTATCCAAAACATACAAAAGCTCTTTTAGTAAAAGCTGTCAAATAAAATTGTTTCCATTTGAAGGTAAGTTGTATTTTCTATGTGTGAAAGAATGACATCCACCAATTATCCACAATGATAATTAAGCATCAAGCTGTAATTTTATGTGTTTGGGTTAAAATTTTTCTATTTTGGGTTTTATCAGTTTATGGGTTTTTGGTTTTATAGGGTTCTTTTTGATTGATTATTTGTTTGTTTTAAGTGGATTGATTATTCTTAATGAAAAGCACCACCAAAACCATTGTATGTGATATAAGCATATAGTATAGAAACTTCTTCTGTAAACTATCAGATAAGCACTCTGTTGAAAATACTCACTACTGCATTATAAAAGCAGTCATAGGCAGCAGACAGTGAATGGAGCAAACACATATGTAAGAAAATGGATATGGGTATGTTTCAGCAAAACTTGACTGACAGAAATGTCAGAGCTGGGTATGGTGGTGCACACTTATAATCCCACGTGACTCAGGAGGCTGAGGCAAAAGGTCACAAGTTTGAGGCCAGCCTCAGCAATTTAGCAACACCCTGTCTCAAACACCTGGGGGTGTTGCTCAGTAGTAGAGGGTCTTTAGGTTCAATCCCCAGTACCTCAAAAAGCAGAAACAAACATGTAGAGGCCACATTTGGCAATGGGCTATAGCTTGCGAATCTTTGAGAATAATGATAAAACATTTGCAGAACTACCTCCCAAATTGAGAAATCATAAGTTATCACAATTCTGTGTTAATTTTTTAAAATCTCTTTAGAAGAGAATCCTTTGGAGATCAAAGAAAAACCTATGGATATGGAAGAAGCAAGTCATGAAGCTGAAGAGATGAATGAAGACACTGAGACTGACCAGAATGATGATGAAAATCAACCCAAGCCTGAGGAAGGCCCCAGTGAAGATGACAAGGTGGGAGAGGAGGAGGAGATGGATACAGAAGCTGATGACCAAGACAAAGGTGCTGCCGAACATCCTGAAGAAAACTCAGAGGAGCAGCCGCAGCCACCTCTGGAGGAAGAAGACAGGGAAGCCACTGAGGAAGGTGGAGATAATGGCAGCCCTGTTGACCAAGGTCTCCAGCCGCAGGTATTATGGGTTGTGTGCATTTTCTTATGTAAGAAGTAATAATAATGAGGAGGAGAAAACACTTTATTTTCCCACAAGCATCTCTTTTAGGATACTTCTTCATTATCAGGTGGTACTGCCAAGGATTTTTAAACTTCTGTTTGAAAACTCTCTGATCATTCCCCTCTTTTTAGTCTCTCTCCACAGCAAGCAGTGGGGAGCCTGCGTGCTGCACAGGCTTCTACCTCACGTTCTCCCAGCACATTTAATACTGTGTTTGATTTCTCTGCAGAATTCGGAAGAAGAGGAGAAATCTGACACAGAGGAGCAGTTGCCAGAGGCATTGGAGAGGAAAGAGCATACTTCCTGTGGGCAAACTGCTATGGAGAACATACAGAGTGCACAGGCCGTGGAGCTGGCTGGGGTTGCACCTGAAAAGGAGCAGGGGAAAGAGGTGAGAGGCTTTTCTGCTTTATCCAGTTTCCTCCCCTCTCTGAAATTAGGGATCAGTAGCAGTAGTTGGTTTATGTATGGTTTTCTGTTGTTTTATTTTGCTGACATCTAAAAGATCATTTCCTATTTTTGGAGAAAATGACTGTATACCTATTTTTATAAATGTCTGTCAGGAAAAAACTCAGAATATTTGCTATAGGCTGTGATTAAATGATATGTCTCATTAAGATCAGGTTCATGGGGCTGGGGATGTGGCTCAAGCGGTAGCGCGCTCGCCTGGCATGCGTGCGGCCCAGGTTCGATCCTCAGCACCACATACAAACAAAGATGATGTGTCCGCCGAGAACTTAAATAAATAAATATTAAAAAAAAAAAAAAGATCAGGTTCATTTTGTTTTTCAGAAAGCTCCCAGGGAAGGAAAGGTTGAAATTATTCCTTAATATTGCCTCTAATGGTATTTTTTCTTGCTGTTCACTCAGCTTCTAAACATTTCAATTTAAAAAGCAAAGCACTTCTTCATTCCTTGCATGGTGGTGATATGTTCTAATATGGCCACAGTTCATTCTGCTGGCCCACTATGGAAAGGACATTAAACATCAAAGGACTTGTTTGTTAGCCTCATTGAGCCCCAGTTTTCTCACCAATAACAGCAGCAATTTTTACTTTTTACATCTACCTACCATTATTCATTAATCACCCATTAGATGGTAAGCATTTTCAATATTTCAGCAAGTCCTCTTAATAGCCCTGTGAGATAGATGATGTTGTCCCATTTTCTACATTTTATATTTGAGGAAAATAAGCCTCTGAAGTTAATTAATAACCTCAATGGTGCATAGCTGGTGGGTGATGAAGCCTGGTTTCTAACTGAGGCCTAATCTGTCCTGCCTAGGAGTAAGACATTTTGCTTGTGTTCTTCCTGTACACAAGGAAGTAATCAGCCTTGAGAAGCAAAGGAACCTAAGAGGGTAACATAGCTCTGGTCTCAACACTCTTGTTTCTACCCACAGTCTGGGCCTTAGTTATGGGTGAGTTCTGGAGCAGCCAGGTAGGCACAGGTGACAAGCTGACAAAGGAGCATCATGGTAAGAGAATTGTGCTCAGTGCAACATGATAACCCGTGCTCATAATAATTTCCTCCATCTCATTCTTCTGTGGATTTCCTAGGAACATGGGAATGGAGCCGCAGATGCAAACCAGGCACAAGGTCATGAATCCAACTTCCTTGCCCGGCTGGCCTCCCAGAAACATACCAGGAAAAACACACAGGTCTTTGTCTGCCTTTAACTAAATTTAGGTTAAGGCTGAATACAGAAAAAGATGCTCTAAATGCAATCATTTTTTTTAAAAGCCACCTTCCCCAGTCTCTGCTTTCCAACCAGACATGATGGTAGTCTAGGTGAGCACACCAGGACTGTGGGGTTTTCTCAGTGGGATATCATCACTGGGGTTCCTTTCTTGCACTCCTAGTCCATTGATACTAATCCGCCTAAGCTCAGTGCTGTGTGCTACTTTCCAGAACCAACCAGCCCCACTTCATTTCACTCTCCATAGTTTTTTTGCATTTTTTCTAAATGGGGTAAAATTTATGTCTGTGAAATTATTATATCAAAACTAGTCCCTTAAAAAAATCTACATGCTATCCTGTCCCCAAGCAACCCTTCCCAGAGCAAATTAATGCAACCAGTTGGCTGTTTTCAAAAGATACCTTCACATGTAACATACATACAGAAGTATGCATATATGTACGTTTCTTTTCTTCCTTGACTTTTTTTTTCAGATAGAGAGTACATTAGATTGTTCTGTATAAGTATATAGAAATCCTGTTCTTTTTAATACATAAATTGAATCCCAATGCTGTTATAGCTATACCTAATTTACCTATGGATGGACATTATGGTTATTTTGAGTCTTTTTGTCAATAGACAAGGTTCTGATGAATTTTCTCTTCCTACAGAGTTTTAAGAGGAAACCTGGGCAGGCTGACAACGAACGCTCCATGGGTGATCACAATGAGCATGTGCATAAAAGGCTGAGAACCGTGGATAACGACAGCCAGGCTGAACAGGAGGCAGCCCAGCCCCAACCTCAGCCCCATGCAGAAGACGCAGACGCATATGAGCACATTAAACAAGGACATGACACATACGATGCACAGACGTATGGTATGGTAAAGGAAGGATTTATCCTTTTTCTCTGAGCTCTCTCTGACTGTGTTTCTGCCAAACAAATGAAGAGGGAGAAGAAATAACTTTTTAAACAAGTTCTAATAAATACAGAATAAGATTTTCTCTAATATAGAAATAATTTGGTTTTGGTACCAAGGTGTTATAATGATCAAGGTTTCTAGGTGTAATGTAAGCCTTCTAACTACACTTACAGTCACGTCCTTCTCTACACTGATTTCAGGGTTTCTTAGTTCTGGAAATTTTGGGGTAGGTTCCTGCAATGGCAGGACCTATGAACTTATGATATGTGTTTTCTCTATGAAGTGAAAAGGACAGCAGGGAGATTTCAGCAGAGAATATCTGTCATTCTGATGTCTTGGTGACTTTTCATCGTTGTATCCCTGATAAATAAACTAGTATGGATAATACCTGCCCATGAGGGTAGTGCAAAAATGACTGTGGTAGGTAACTTTTTACTCTGTCTACACTTTATTTACTTGAACAGAAAGAAGAATGATTATAGAAAATTATATATTTGGTCCAGTTCCTACCATATGCTGCAATTTAGGCAGGTTCCTCCCATACCTTGGGCAGTGAGACACTGCCTATCAGGGAGACCTATTAAGGTCTCTGCCCCTAATAGGGCAAGACCCCACTGTGGATCTTTGTGAATTTACAACTGTAAATGACTTAGGATGGCACACAGCAGACAGAGAATAGATTCCTGCCCTAGTCTAGTCACAGCCTGGAGAAGGGAACACTATTGTAAAACTTGGGCCCAAGAGGGCCCAGCTAAGCTGTTCAGAAGTCTGTCCCCACTTTTTTTAAAAAAAAAACAAACAAGCTTTTGCTTTGTGTCAAAAGGGTTTTCTAAGCCTCTGCTGTATGATCATGGAATTCCTCAAATAATCTTGTGAGCTAGGATGTTGTGTAGAGAGAGACAAGAGCACTGAACTAAAGAATTAAAAGGAAGTGACCAAGATTACAGTGCTGAGATTCCCATGTTGGTCTTTGTGCCCCCTTTTATACTTTTAACCAACTCTTAATAAACTGCAGTTTATATGCCTATAAGTTTGTAATGGTATATTTCCTTTAGTTGGCCTAACATGCGCTCAAACTTTATTCAGGTTTGTTTACTGGTGATAGTAGTCAAAACCAAGTTAAGATACCCTGTTGCTGTGGTCACATGTATAATTGTATGGAAGATAGGTGACAGGCAGCTCTATCAATAGGTCAGTAATAAATCTTAGGCAAAAACAAGTGTCCAAGCCGCATAGTTGGTCAGTAACAGAACCAGCATTAGAATTTTGGAAGCTATAAGTGATAGAATCCATAGCCTATTTGTTTGTACTTCATTATGCAAAAACCTAAGCTTTCTATGTTTACATGCATGCTATTGACAGACGTGGCTAGCAAGGAGCAGCAGCAGTTTGCAGAAGACTCTGGCAAAGATCAGCAAGAGGAGGAAATAGAGGATGCCCTCATGGATACAGAGAAACAGGAGGAACTCCGAACAGCAGACATGGAACAGCTGAAGCCAGAGGAAGTCAAGTCGGGAACCACAACAGTTTCTAGTGAGAATTGCTGGTGACCACACCCTTTCTAAGCTCTCTGACTTGGAGAAATCAGTTCTCTCAGACTGCAGTCTAGGCTCGTCTTTTCTGTTTCAAGTTATTCATCCATGGACTAGACTTGCCTATAGTTATTTTACTATATTTTGTTTAGGGCAGAAAGGTACAAGGGTGGAGTAGCAGGATACCATCTTTCAAAAGAGACCCCAACCCAGGTGCAGTAGTGCATACCTGTGATCTCAGCACCTTGGAGGGCTGAGGTAGGAGGATTACATATTTAAAGCCAGCCTTGACAACTTAATGAGATTGATTCAAACTTAAAAAAGAAAAAAGGGGTTGTAGCTGAAGGTAAAACGCACCTGAGTTACAATCCCCAGTGCCCACTCTCCCCACCCAAAAAAGAGACCCCAAAGTTTAACAAAATTCTGTTGGTCTTTTTAAAATATATAAAAGAAAACAGAATGGTGTATTTAACACAGTTGTGATAATTAAGTATATTATTATAGAAATGTTTTCAATTATGTTGAAGTATGTATTATCATAAAATAGTAAAAGAAACCAAAATGCATGTGAGAAGGTAACAATTTCCATTTCATAGGTAACCAAGCTTTGTTACCAGATAGTTCGTTTTAAAAAGACAACAGATGCATCAACTTAATTTTATCAACAATGGAATAAATACAAATTCTAAAGAAGCTGCCAAATTCAAAAGCTTTTTATGATGCTTCATTCCTGGCCTTATGATGGTGTTCGACACTGTACACTACCCTGCCATTACATGACAGTGGGAAAAACAAGCGTTTGTAATTAGATGCCTGGATTCAAATCCATAATTTTACTATGGATTGAGGTATATTTTTAGTTTTGTCTTTGCCTCAATTTCCTCATCTATAAGATGGGGAAAAATGATTTTATTTTAGGTTTTTATTGATTGGATTGAGCACAGGGCTTCATATGTGCTAGGCAAGCAGTCTACCATTGAGCTATACCCCAACCCTTGCTTCAATTTTTAATCACACACAAGGTTTAAAGAATCATTTTTTTTTTTTAATAAGGTTGTTAAGGTAAACTACAGTTTCTACTGTTTACTCTGTAAAGAATAGCTGACTTCAACAGTAGAGTGGGGAGAGGAAAAATTAGTAAGAATTTGGCAGTGGCTGTCTCAAAATGCAAGAATATTTGGAAATGTTGAGTGAATAAATGAGGTTTGATTTATTGATAGGTAACAGAGCAGGCTCAAGCTTTATGCTAATATGATAAATAAAACTATTCCTTACATTAAAATAGGCCCTGATGAAATGGAAGTAGACGCTCAAACTGTTAAAACAGAGGAACACCAAGACTCCAGGATAGACAGATCCTACAAGGAGAGAGAGAATGAGAAACCAGAGAAAAGCCAAGATTCAACCATTCATACAGCCCATCAGTTTCTTATGGATATAATTTTCCAGGTACTAAAACTCTGACCAGTTGCTGCTTTAGTAATTGTCAAAATAATTTTAAGTTGCATTTAAATCTTTGTCTTTAGAGCTTTGTGGAACATCTGGTTCATGTCCTTAAAAATTTTTTTAGGAATACTATTGGTGTGAGGAGTGTTCCCTAATAAACAGACGATACTGTTTCAACAGTTAATCCCAGGGTCACAGTGCCCTGACTTGTCCATGATGGTGGGTCTGGTTCTTAGCCTTGGCTCCACATTCCCACTTTACTTATCATCTTTGAGTAAGGAATCTTCAGGACAAGTAGCAGTTCATAATGGTTAAGTAACAAGAATGTTTGACTTATCACCTATATTTAGAAAGAGCCCTTTGAGTTTTCCCCCCCTAACAGTTTGGCTTAATGACAGATTATCTTAAAGACCATTTTTATTATTGATGAGTTAAAGAGTATTTGGTTTCTGTTTGGCTGTGGTGGATTTACAAATGTTGAACATTTCCTTTATCCATGTTCTCTAAAAGAATCTAGCATCCTCTCATCGTGCCCTTAAGTTTGTTTAGGTTTTGAGTCTCAGGCATTTGACTGTATGCATTGAGTTCTTAAAACAGGGAGGAAGGCAGCCAGTGATAAGGTGGTGGTTCTTACTATTTCTCTTATTCTTTGTTTTTTCCTTTTAGCCCCTTATAAAAGATGTTAATCAGCTAAGACAGGAGATGGAAAGACAACTAGAAACATGGGAGCCACAGGAATCTGGAAACCCAGGAGAAGTAAGCCACTGGGGTTTGTTTCATTTTCTTTGTACTTGTTTTGTAGGGGGTACCAGGGATTGAACTCAGAGGCATTCGACCACTGAACCTCATCCCCATTTTGTATTTTATTTAGAGACAGGGTCTCACTGAGTTGCTTAGTGCCTCACCATTGCTGAGGCTAGCTTTGAACTCATGATCTTTCTGCCTCAGCCTACATTTCTAAAGTCTAGGTCTATTCATTGCTTTCTGGAACTTTGCTACTACATCTGTAGTATTATTAAAACAGAATCTTTTAACTTCTGTTAATGGGTCTGTAGTAGATGTAACAATGGTTGAAAGCTAGGCAAAAGTCTATGCTGTGCCATTCTGAGAATAGGCACATTCTGAGATCATTGCTAGCTCTGTGTATTAACCAGGAGTATCATTTTTAGTAACTTTGTATCCTAAATTTCAGTATGTGTATATATTTTAATATTTATTATCATAATACCACATTTGTATGCAGGAAATAATGCACTGCTGAGTGTGTTACCTGAGGGATTTGCACTTATTTGTCACTTTTACTTTGGAACATGGCTCTGAGAACCCATGAATAAGTGGCTAGATCTGCTAGAACAGAATTACTCATTGACATCTGCCTCCTTGTATAAAGGGTTACAGATATGAATAAGGCATTGATTTGGTCATGAATTCCTTGTTTCATTCTTTCTCACCTGGAACTGTGAGTCATATTTTTGGTGGCTGGGGAAAGACAACATTTTTAAACTATAAATAACAACTGGCTGGGGGAAGCCTTAAAGTGCTTCTGTTAGGAATCAGCTTGCATGAACCTTCCCATCACTTAGCTTCATCATGCTATGACTTGGTTGGCTCTGATAGTCAATGGGTAACTTATATTTGTTGTCATTATCCCAGGAGATGGCTGCAGCTGAGATGTGGCAGAATTATCTGATCTTGACTACACCTCTTTCACAACAGTTATGTGAGCAACTTCGTCTCATATTAGAACCTACTCAGGCAGCCAAATTGAAGTAAGTCTTCACAAATCTTCGTGATGCCTGAAAAGATGAGGGTGTCAGCAGTTCTGCACTCAGCACCAAACCATTTATGGTTTTGGATCATAGGCTGCCACTTTTGCTGTATAGGAACCAGCCTGGTGCTCCTTACCCTGTTTGCTTTTGTGATCTCTGCCACAGGATTTCTGTGATGTTTGGTATGAAGGCAATTTTTCTTTCCCATTACTTTGGATGGAAAACGGGCTGAGCCTTTGGTTTTGTTACTCACCTAGATGTGTCCAAAGAAAAGGAAGAAACCAATCCTTTGTATTCTGTATAAACTTTTTTTTTTTTTTCCTATCTTAGCTTTTTTAGAAGGACCTACTTATCACATACATGACCAGCAGTCCTAGCTGGTAGTCAGTAGTCACTGTTCATTAGTTCTTAATTTACAGTAATGCCTCATTGTGCCAGGTAACTATTGGTTTTAAGGGATTAGCATGATTTTTGTTCTTAAAAGAAAATTCTGAGTGAAAAGCACTTGTTAACTAGTCTTTGCCCTGCTGTTCGGATAAATTTCATAGAGGAGACTATCGAACAGGAAAGCGACTGAACATGCGGAAGGTCATTCCATACGTTGCCAGTCAGTTTCGGAAAGACAAGATTTGGCTCCGAAGGACCAAGCCCAGTAAACGCCAGTATCAGATTTGTTTAGCTATTGATGACTCTTCTAGTATGGTAGACAATCACACCAAACAGGTAAGGAAGAGAAATACATGACAGTTTTACACCAAACCACATTCAGTGGGTTACCCAAATAGCAAAAAGAATGTGATGACTATATTGAGAGTTCAGAAGGGAAATTTCAGGATGTCGCAAATATTTTGATTCCTTGTTTCTTAACCCTGTTGTCTGGCTACAGAGCAAGTAAACTTGACTTTATTTTCCATAAAATGCAATAATTTACTATTAAGCTACTCTCCCAGACTATGTACAACATAAAAGTATCTGAAGCTATTAAGTCTGTATAATATTAGTTTACTGCTGATTTTACTACCCATAAAGATTCCATAGCACGCACACACACACCCCCCGCCCGCGCGCAGGGAAAAAAAAATCAATTTATGGATCATGTTTCACAAAATTACTTTTATTAGATGATATCTAGAACAGACCATTTCTACCAGTGTAACGTACTCTGGGTTTCAGCATTTGTGGAACCAAGGAGGGCCTAAGGCCACCAAAGCCTCAGGTTTTGTTATAAACATGGAAATCTTGATGGAAGAAAAGGTTAGAGGCACTAGTTTAGAGGATTTCTTATTCTAAGCCCTTTACTTATTTCACAGCTTGCATTTGAATCATTGGCTGTGATTGGAAGTGCTCTAACGCTTCTGGAAGTGGGTCAGATTGCCGTGTGCAGGTAAGGTTGCCTTTTAATCCCATTGGAAAACCCTTTTCATAACCTTGTCATTTTGATCACATGACAAAATAACTCCCACTGTATTTGGGTTTTTCTCCCCCAAGTTTTGGAGAGACGGTAAAGCTATTACACCCATTCCATGAGCAGTTCAGTGATTACTCCGGGTCCCAGATTCTACGGCTATGCAAATTCCAACAAAAGAAAACCAAGATTGCTCAGGTATGTGGCTGAAGTCTTTCACATAGTTATTCTTAAGCTGATATTGGAGGTGCATAATTTTTAGGAGCTCCCTTCCCCCCAATTAGCATTCAGGATAGGTAAAATTGACAATACAAAATAATCCTAAATTTCAGTCTGTACCACTAGAATAGAACCTTCCTTGACATAAACCAAGGTATGACTTCTTTTACTCAGTTCAGCACCACTGGTTTATCAGTTCCCCATTTTTTGGGTAGTTTGGAACATTTTACAAAAATAAACTTATCATTCTGTACCCTGTCCAGTGGGTCAAGGCCTATTCAGGGGTAATATTTCTGTTCGGCTCTTTTTGTGGGGGTGGCGGGGCATTCATATTATTGACTTCCCTTTGGGTGTCTTCCCAGAACACTAGTGGAGAGACTCACCAGTGATGCATGCACATCTTGCTTATACTTGAATGCCAGGCCACACAAGGTTCATCTGTCCTTTAGGTGGCTAGAAGGGACAATTTGATTGCCTTTTGGGCCTAGGATCATTATCTGATAATTACTTCAATGTTGTCTAACAATGAAAGGGAGGTTAAGTAGTTTTCTTTTGGAGGCACTAAGATTTAAACCCAGATGCTTGGGCATGCAGGGCAATTGCTGATTCTTTTATGTCTGGTTTAGTTTCTAGAGTCTGTAGCCAACATGTTTGCAGCTGCTCAGCAACTCTCACAAAACATCAGTCCAGGTGAGCTGCATTCTTTGTTAACAAAAAGACTTTTCTGTTTTTATCTCACTGTACTTGTCACCATCTTTTAAAGGTGATTTGGGCACACTCTTCTAGTGGCCTACTCAGCATTGTCATCCTTATTAACATGGACTTTAATTTTAATGTGTTGTTCTACAATGGGAGATATTCTAAATTTGACATTCTCTTAAATACCACTGGGAAATTTAGTCATACTAAAAGCAGCTCAGTATATCTTGTCTTCCTAAGTAAATGATCTAATCAAAGGCCCCTTTTATTTGTGCTCGGGATTCACTCAGATGTTTGGTTTTAATAGTACATGGAATAATTATGGTAGGAAGTTGTTTAAAATGATTTTTATTCTCTTCTCGTGTTCTACAGAAACTGCACAACTTCTCCTAATAGTCTCTGATGGACGAGGTCTTTTTCTTGAGGGCAAAGAAAGGGTCTTGGCAGCAGTTCAGGCTGCCCAGAATGCTAACATCTTTATCATTTTTGTTGTGTTGGACAATCCCAGTTCTCGGGTGAGTAACTACTGAAAGCCTCATTTTTTAGAGAGAACAGTTTGAAAGGAATTCCTGGCATTCTGTGTACCTTTATGTTTTTTAAATTATTCTTCCTGACAGTGAAAGTTATACATAGAATCTAGTGCAGCTTTTGTCTCTGGAGTTAGCCAGGTTTCTATTACATAGGAACTGAAAGAACCAAAGGGAGAACACTGGGCACCCTGAAATGCAAGGTTCTCAAGAGAAATGACTGAAAAGATTGCATGTAGAGGGGTAATGTCAGAACTGTAAAAAGCTGGGATTACTGGTATGCTTATCTACATATTGATGAATATGTTCTTTGGTCTAAAACTGTAGCATTTTGAAGGTAGCTTTCAAGATATTTTCTCGTGTATTTTTAAAACTGTCTTAAATATGACTCCATCCTCTGGTTCAGAACTGCCCTCGTATACAACAGCTACCTCAGCCTTGATAATGGGCTATGATCAACTTGAAATTGAGGGCAACCTTTGTGTACTCTTCCCTAGGGTAAACACTGTCACATTAAAGCCTTGGTAAAGATTTAATGGGAATTATTCCAAGTAGAGAATGGAGATATCATTATAAGGAAAGCATACTTTGTTTACCCCTTCCTCCTTTTTTAGATTTCTTTCTGGGAGATTGACACTATCTCACCCTTGAGAGTAGTTCTAAAAATCGTCAACAGAAGAGCTATCCAAGGATGCTGATTTATTACTTTTCGTTTCAAATGTCTTGACAGGATTCTATCTTGGACATTAAAGTACCAATATTTAAAGGACCTGGAGAGATGCCTGAAATCCGATCATACATGGAAGAGTTCCCTTTCCCATTCTATATCATCCTTCGAGATGTGAATGCTCTTCCTGAGACACTCAGTGATGCCCTCAGACAGTGGTTTGAGTTGGTGACTGCCTCTGATCACCCTTAGAACAGAAAAAGCTGTCCAAAGCGAAACTGTTTGAATGATGGTCAGAATATTGCAAATCTTACCTGATACTCCCTTTTGGATAACTGTTTCTGAAATTATCCCTCTAAAATACATTGTTTTGATTTTTAAAATCCACCCAACGGCTACAAAACATATGAAATCTCCTTAATAAACCTGGGACAGAGAAGGAACAAACATAAGCTGCAGGGCTCCCGTCTCATAACTGAGGAGGCTATACCCTCCCTGGATCCAGCTACCTGTTTTCCCCTTGCAGAAACATTTCTTGAGATGCTGTCATGTGGCTGAGATGCATACAGTTTTATGCAGAGCCTGACCGCACAATAAACATGGTAAGAAAATGCACAAAGAACTCCTCTTAGAAGGTAGGAAGCCCACGGTATATGCGTTTTCAGAAAGACTATACATTACGGAAGCCCAAGTAATCGACATATATAAGTAAAAATGAAGTGGCTTTTCAGTGTCCTCACATTTGCTGCTTCGGGAGACTATGCAATAACAAAGATAATTTTCCCTTGATTTCATTCTCTCAGTGCCATAGTTCTATTTGTTATAGTAATTTATTTTTTCCCTTAATAGTTTAGGAGAAGAATCATTCCTTCCACTGCTTTCAAGCTAGACTGAGCCAGTCTCATTCTGGAAAAGAAATGCTATGTCCACAGAATTAAGCAGCTACATCTACCCCCCCCCCCCCGTTAAAATACACCATTGGTTTTTCTTTGGCCAGAAAGCAGTAATGTTTGAATACTTGAAACTGTGAGCTGTATTCTATTTACTGTTCTTTTGTAGGCAACATGCTATGACATAATCATCTCTCTCCAAGTCTTTAAGTTACACTGTGAAGTCTGCCACCCTTATAGGTGGTGGTCATTAAACACAGATTGCTTGTTGTTTAACCAAATGTCCTAAAGCATGTATCAAGTTATATCATTTTTTATTCTCGAAAGCTATGCAGTTTATATTCTGAAAGTTATTAAAATAATACAACATTGTTGAGATATATTGTGATTCCCCACACACATTCCTGTGGATTGAACCCAAGGATTCATCACTGACCTAGCTATAACCTCAGCCCTGCTTAGTGAAACCCTTGTCTTAAAAATGAAGCAACTTAAGCTGATTGGCCTTGAACTTGGCATTCTCCTGCCCAAGTCACTGGTACTACAGATGTATACCATCATCCCTGGCCTAATTTGTGATCAGTGGAATATGACAGACAAATTCAAAATATGTGCTGGAGGACTGGTCTTGTCTGCTGAGCACATTTATACCACGTTAACATGATCCCACAACTTTACTCCCATGTCTATGGGTGAGTTGGCAGAACCACACACTGACTCAAAGATTCTGCTTCATAATGACACACACACCTCTTCCACTCATACTTCACTGGCCAAAGCCCTCTATGGGACAGGAAGTTTAATATTCCCAGTTGGGTCTGATAGGGAAAGACAGCTGCACTGTTATATTTACCTTTAATCAGTAGGTGTAAGATACAGCTCCCCCACTGCTGTGCTCAAAATGAGCTCTTGGCCCTGGGACAGAAGGAATTCTGGTATCAGGTCCCCAAGAATGCTATTTTCAATACATGGGGAAAGAGCAATATCGCAAACTGATGAGATATAAGGGTTGTGGACCCAGGATTAGAAGCCTCATAGATTCATAAGCAAGGCATTGAGAGTCTGGGCTACTATTAGGGCTTACAGGAGTGACGACAAATGAAACTACCACATGACTGCTGACAGGGCTACTATTTGTGCCCTGCTACTCCCTCCTCCTTCTCCTACTTTCCATCCCCAAATGCCCAGTCTCCTTGACCAAAAAGGCAAATTCTGACATTTGAGGAATTGGAACACAAATGCTCTATATGCTCTTAATAATCTAAAGACACTTTGCCACTCCTATAACTCAACCATTATCTAAGCAAAAGGCCTGCACAGGTTTCTATCCAGGGGTCCAACAAGGCTACTCTGGTATACTTAATTAACATTGTGGTTCACTTAATGACAGGAATACATTCTGAGAAATGCAGCACTAGTCATTTTCATTGCGTAAGTACATTCCATGTTAAAGAACGAACTAAGACAGCTATCATGTCACTAGGCAATAATGGAATCATCACCATGACTTACTCAGATGTCTGCTGGAACTCTAGTTGGGTGATAAACTCTTCAAATGCAACATGTTCAAAATGTCACTATGATTCTATCACAAATCTGTTCTAAAATTCCCCTTCTGTGTTAACTGCTCCAGCTGCCACTGTTTACAAATGTGGAGTTTGGTCTGTACTTGGGCTTTACTTCCCTTTCTATCTCCATCCAAATCCAAAATTAATAATCTGTCAAGTATAACTCCTGGATATTTATACTACCCTATTTCTCTCCCCCATGCAATTCACTGCAGATTGAGCTCTTAATCTCAATGATAATCTGGACTACTTCAATGATAACTCAAATTTGTCTTTCACTGACAAAAACCAAGGATCTTTCTAAAATTTCTACTTTTGGGTAAAGTCCCTTCAGATCTTCCTATGTAGTAAGGCACTCCAAGTGTCCTTTTCACAAACCTATGAGGTTCTTCCCTGACTCTCCTGTTCATTCCCTCTCTGCAGCCCTACCATTGACCTAGTCACAGAAAATGAAAGGTCTTGCAATCTACCAGTGTTCCATGAGTTGTCTGGAATCTTATCTACTTTGACATTCTGACAACCACCTACCTCAGATAACTCCTCCAGAAAGAATAACCTCCATGGTATGAACTTCCAAGTCTTTGAAGACAGTGTGCCTAGCTTATAACAGTATTACCTGTTTCGAAGATGTTTCTGGAAGCAAAGAAGAGTGTAAAAATGTGTTCTCACATATTAACTGGCAACACTATTTTAAAATTCAAACAAGAACCTAAAGAAGATTTGGAGAGAAATTATAGAAAACATCAAGGTCATACTGAACACCAGTAATAGATTCTTACAAGAATCTATTACAGTGTCCCGTCATAACAAAACATGCCAAAAAAAAAAAATTAAAAAACATACTAGTCCAAGACAACAGCCTAAACAGATCCTCAGACTGTAAATATGTACTATATGGTCAAAAATGCATCACAAAGCCCCAGGAAGATAATTATTTACTAAATGGTGTTAAAATTCTAGCTTAGTGGGGCTGGGATTGTGGCTCAGTGGTAGGGTACTTGCAAGAATTAAGAAAATAAAATAGTTACAAAGTCTCAGATGGGAAGAGACAAAACAAGCCTCAAAGGAAATAAAATACAAATAGTGTAGATATAAAGCTTAAGGATATAAACCATGAAAAACTAGAATAAAAATCCTAATCAGCATAAATGTGCCTAAATCATGCAAAAAAAACAGAAAAAAAAAAAAAATCTAAAATGGCTAGGAGTATTTAGTTGCCCTAGTACTTGAAAAGCCAGATCTGTAATAAATTGTTATACTGTTCATCTGTTAGGACAAAATTTGAAAAATATACCACTGCAATGTGGTCATGAGGTTATTAGCATCACTCACAATGCCAACTAAACTAAGCTAAGGATTAGACTTCTTGTATGTGCCAGGGCCTCTTAGAACATTGCATATGATACAACTCTGAGGTGGATGCTGTATTTCACTTTACACTTCACAGAAAAGGAAACAGGCCAGGAGAAATAGCCACACAGAGCTAGGAAAAGGGAACTCATGGATTCCAACAGGTGACTCACTTGAGTGCTCTGTAAATGGGTTAACTGGTTGTTTTTGGTTGTACAATTATTTAATTCACTATTTGGAAAACATGGCAAAAATGCCACAAACTAAGGATGTGTTATGGGGATAAGAACTAGGAGTAAAAGTTCGAAGTGTAGGAGGATATTCAGTTCCTCCTCGTTATTCACAGGAGGCAAAGAAAAAAAAAAAAACGGCTTAAAATCTCAATGGGACAAACATTTAAAACTCCTGTTACACTGTTACAAATAATCATGATGAAGACCACTACAGGAAAAAACTTAAAAAAACAATGAAAACGAGAAAAACTGCAAGATGCAAATACTTAAATAAGTAACATTCTAAAATACTAAATATGTTCTTCCCTTCCAAAGGAAAAAACAAAAACCTTAGCTTCCATTAATGAAGCCCGTTGTTGCTGAACTTATTGCCGTTTTCCTTAAAAATAAAATTTAAATAGAGGAAAAAAGTTTGCTGCTGCTGAGGGTCAAACCCAGGGCCTTGTGCATGCAAGGCAAGCACTGTACCAACTGAGCTATATCCCCAGCCCCCATTGATAAATTCTTAAATGCATACGGTGCCAAATGCCTTACCATTCTTATTTCGTTATTACAACCACCTTGTAATACAAACACTATTACCCTATTCAAACGATGAGCAAACTCGACTAAGACCGGTTAAATACCTAGCCCAGGCTACAGACCTAATAAACTTCAAACTCCTGGGCTTCCCTCCCAAACGCCTGACTTTCGGGGTAGGAACACAAATCCACAGGCGTCTCCCAGGAAACGGAGCTCGCTCCGCCCCCTGACCATTCCCTCACTTCCGTCCTGCGCACTGAGACTCCAAGAGGAACGCGTTCTATTTCTGAGATGGCCGCTTCCCGGTTGCCTCCAGCAACGCTGACGCTAAAGCAGGTACCAATGTTCTCTCTTACTCAGGTCAACACGTAATGGTATGAGCTGCTCGATTTTCTACTTTCCCCACCCGGACTACAGTATCTCTCAGGCCAACCGGGGCGGGTCCGCGGGGTTCTGACGCTGCACGCGCACGCCAGTGATTGGCCCCAGGGGTTGGAGGCGGGGCTTCCCCAAGAGTTGGGGAGGGAGCAAACGGGTAGGCGCTTCCTTTTCAGGGACCGCAGAAAAGCTCGCTATGTTGGTAGTACCGAGCCATGGTTAAGAGGGGAAAAAAAATTCCCAAAGAATTTGGACAACTGCATTAAATTTAGAAAAAGTGCTATTAATGTTACAGTTTAGGTACCCGGAAACCCTTTTTATACCCATAAAGGTGGTCAACTCTTGATTTTTAAAGGTTCTTAAGTTTTACAAATGACCCACGTGAACCTATTGCCGTTTTCCTTAAAAATAAAATTAAAATAGAGAATAAAAAGTTTTTCTTTGCTATCTTCAAAATTGAGAACCTGGGGTCGTGGCTGTGGCTTAGTGGTAGAACGTTTGCCTAGCACGTGTGAGGCACTGGGTTCGATCCTCAGCACCACATAAAAATAAAGGTATTGTGCCCATCTGCAACTAAAAAAAAAAAATTTTTTTTTTAATTGAAAACTAAAAAGACATCGTCTGGTTACAGCTGGTTTGCCAAAGTAAAACTGGCTATCATAATTGTCATTTCTCCCCCCACGTACAGTTCATGAGAAGGCAACAAGTTCTCATGCTCTACAGAAGGATTTTGCGAGCAATTCAGCAAGTATCAAACGATTCTGATCGCAAGTACCTGAAGGACTGGGCAAGGGAAGAATTTAAAAGAAACAAAAGTGCCACTGAAGAGGTGAGAATAGATCATGGTGAGGGCAGTCCCAGACTCTTGTATTAAGTGACCAGTTTTTTAAAAGTTTAGCAGGCATTTTGGAATATAAATGTCACCAAGATGGTATATCTTGATCATTGCTTATAGTGGTACTAATTTTCCAAATTATACTTTAAAATATCTGTATCTATACAGTTGCACACCTGGTTTTTATGCTGTACCACACAGCTTTTAATTTTCCTAATATTCAACAGTTCCCAGTAATGACAGTTTGTTTTTTGGGTTTTTTTGTTTTGTTTTGTTATTTGGAGAATCTTTTTGTATGGTGCCAACTCACAGCCTTGTGCATGCTAAGCTCACGCTCCACCACTGAACTACATTCCCAGCCCACCACTATAGATAGGTTCTTGAACTTAACAAAATGGTGAGATTGTACCTTGTTTAACCAGGATAAGTGATCATCAGATTTCCCTTTTTTCTACAGGATGCAATCCGGATGATGATTACTCAAGGCACTATGCAGCTAAAGGAGTTAGAAAAAACACTTGCTTTAGCAAAATCTTAACTATAGCATTATTCTGAAGGATCTTCAAATCTCCGTGTAATTTGTTGAGCTTAGGCTTAACAATGGACAGCTCAAAGCCAAGTCAAACTGTATGTACAGTACTTGAGCAAAATATCAAGATAGAAATGTTGTGTTATAGAGAGCAGAGAAAATCACATTGAAGTGATTGCCTCAGGACTGAAAAATACACTTGAGTTTTGAAAATGTTTCTGGATGTGTCTGCAGTTATTTAAGAAGCAAACCCCATTCTAACATGCCAGTTAATACATGAAAATAAGCTCAACACACTCATAAGGAAAGTGCAAATCAAAAACCTAATGACAGCGCACTTCATTTCCACTACTGTAGCTATAATTAAAAAGGGAAATAACAAATGTCAAACATGTGGAGAACTTGGAACACTCCCACATTTCAGGTGGGAATGTAAACTATCTGCAGCCACTTTAGTAAAACAGACCATCCCCCTCCTCAAACCATAACATGGAGTTACCATATGATTTAGCAGTTCTCCTAGATCATAATCAAGAGAATGAAACCGTGCACCTATAAGAAATATGTACATGAGTGCACATAGCAGCACTAATGATGATAGCCAAGAAGTAGGAAAACAAATATTTATCAGTTAATATATAAAATTTAGTATTTTCATACAAGATATTATTTGGCAATAAAAAGAAATGAAGGACTGATTCATAATATACATGGGTGAACTTTGATAACATTGTTAAAGAAGCCAGTCACAAAAAATTGTATCATACGGATTTGTTTATATGAAATGTCCAGGTTGTTCTGCCTAGGGCCATGGGTAAAATGGAAAGTAGCTGGTGAATGGGTGTGATATTTCTTTGGGGGTTTATGAAAATGTCCTACAGTTAGATTATGGTGCTAGTTGTACAACTCTGAATAAACTATGAATATGCTCAAATGCATTCTAAATATACAGTATATGAATTAGATCTCAAGCTGTTAAATAGCATTAGATGCAGGACTAGAGACATACTAACCCCAGGAGATACTCTGGAATTTTCTTGAAAAAATCCTTCTGTATAAACCTTCAAGATTGTTGGGGTATGTTCTTCAGATGTGTCATAGTTTGGTAGTCAAAGAACTCTCTAAAAAGACCACTGGGAATCTGGATCTTTGTTGAAAAGAAAAAGAAAAAGAATTTATTGAACACACCGAAACACCAAGAAGAGGAAAGATTTCAGGCAACTTCTGGATGAAATGTCCATAATTGCCTTTTAACATCCTCACAGAAGGACATAAATCATTAAGGAATATCCTTGGTGCATTAGATTCTTCTCCTATAACAGGAAAAATTTAAGAAACAAATATATTATAGGCTGAGGATATAGCTCAGTGATAGAGTGCTTACTTAGCATGCCCAAGGCCCTAAGTTTAATCCCCTTCACTAAAAGAGAACTATATCCCCAAAGTTGACTTCAGGACACTTTTGAAAGAGGTTTAGTTTATAACATACAATTAATTTAGTGAAAGACGCTGGAATTGCCAGTCTACAAACTGAAGTCCTCCGTTCAACAGAACAAAACTAAGAAGTGAATCAAAAATATGACCAGCACCTGAAAGATGTAGACAGAATTTCACCAGATGATGCCAGTATTGGACTGTATGCCAGAAGAGAGATGTGAACTAATGGTACATATCTTGCCAAGGTCCACCCCCACCTCCTGGAGCTTCAGAGTCCACAAAATATTTCTGAATACCCTTCCACAGAGGTAACCTACTGATTCAAAAAGCTTGCCTGAGCCAATAGGTTTATCAACCTGTTGCAAAACCATCTGATATACAAAAGCATTTGTGAAGAGTTTCTGTACAGAGAACAAATTGGAAATAATTTGTGTGACATGGTTGATATACATAGCAGATATAGGCAGTCTCTAATCCTGGAAATTTTAAAAAGTCACACAGTGTTAAAGTCTGACTTTTGATGATACTCTTCCTAAAGATGTGCATGCAGAATACTTTTAAAGAACACTTGTGGTTTAAATTTGCAATTTGGAAATTAATATTAGACTCCAAGAAAATCTGTGGTTTGGGGGTTTTGGCAGTACTCGGCATTGAATCCAGGGACTCTCTGCCAATGAGTTCCATCCCCAGGCTGTTGTATTTTGATAGTCTCACCAGGTTGCCCAGGCTGGCCTTCAACTTGTAATCCTTCTGCCTTAGCCTACCAAGTCACTGGGATTACAGATGTGTACCACCACTCTGGTTTAATTTTATATTAAAGCAGATAAAACAACTGGAAATTGAATTCTTATTTTCCAGAGGCCAAGATTAACTAACATCCATCCTTTTACTTACCTTTATCTCTAAAGAACAGTTCTTTTCCTTTGTGCACTTAAGTCCTTTATCCCATCTGTATTATTGGCCAACTCTTGCTGTTTAGCCTAAGAGGAAATTCACTTAGCAGTTTCTTCTCAAGTGTGAAACCACAAAAATTTTGGCCAGAATAGAATTGCTGGTGACACATCATGAAGTGATCTTTATCAGTATTCTGGATAAACCTTTCTGGGTGTCTTCTATAAACTGTACTTCTGTGTGAAGATTAAATTTTCCTTCCTAAATTTTAAGAAGTTTGAATTGGGCAGGGTTGTGCACACCTGTAATCCCAGTTATTCAGGAAGTTAAGGCAGGAGGATCATGAGTTCAAAGCCAGCTTCAGCAATGGCAAAGTGCTAAGCAACTCAGTGAGACCCTGTCTCTAGGTAAAATACAAAATAGGGCTGGGGATGTGGCTCAGTGGTTGAGTACTTGAGTTCAATCCCCAGTACCAAAAAGAAAAAAGGCCAGCCAGGGCAAGATGGTGAGATCTTGTCTCAAAGTTTAAAACTTCAAAAAGGCTGAGAGTGTACTTCAGTGGTATAATGCTTGCCTAGTATGTGTGAGACCCTGGATTCAACCCCCAATGGGGAGATGGGGGAGGTTTAAGCATTTAACCTATAATAAACCAATCCTATTTAAAAAGTTAAAGTACAAAAGCTTTGTAGCATAAGAGAAGTGGTTAAGGCCATTTTGTAAGTTTGCCCTTATAAATTAAATTCATGGCACAAGCATTGCTATGTGTATGCCTGTAGACACACAAGTGACTTTCCAGTAACTGAGGAAAGCAAAACATTCTCTGCTGTGTGAATTATTGCAGTCAAGCCAGCAGACACTCTTGGGAGAGGCAGAGACCCATCCCCTCCTATCTCTATTATAAAATAGCTTAAAAGAAAAGCAAAGCAGCCCAAACCTACCTTTTAAAAAACGAATTGTGTAGAAATTCCCAAAGAGGATCAAAAACACATTATCATTGGAAAACTAAAAATCACCACAGGTTATTTCCTTGCTTGAATCAGGCTTTTAGGAAATTAGGATTAAATTTGCTATTTTGTTTACTGAGTAAATCACTCCATGTATATTACTGTCTTTTGCCTAATGTATTTAAGTTAATACACACTTGAGTGTTTCCCCTTAAAAATCACAAGTTTTATAATAAAAGTTCCTCTAAAAGGTCATTGTTTTTTAAACTGGTCTTTTAAATTTTATGACTGGCTATTACAATCTTAATTTCACATGAAGAAATGTATTTAACTTTTAGGAACAGTTTATCAAAAGGTGTAACATCTTGGTTTGCATGTTATGTAATTCTACAGATGTTTTATTCTTCCCCTTTGTTCACTATTTTCCAAATGGTCAACAGTTGTTTTAAACACTTAAGATTACACAGAGAAATCTTAACATGTAGTTTCGTTTTGATGCAGTATAGCTGATCTCGACTTTAAAGCAGATATAATTGCTCTAATTTATCCTTTTATAGACACAAGGTAAAGTGTGGCTAGGTAAAGGCACTCTTTCAAGAATCATAAAATTAGTCAATCACAACAAATGACAATAAAGGTAGTCACGCTTTTCATTTTTTTAAATAAGGAGTTTAGGATCTATAGAAGTAAAAACTATGTTTAACGCTTGGAGGAGACAAATTCAAGATGATAAAAATATTAAGGAGAAGACAACCTGCCTCTCAAGTATGTCAACATATGACTCAAGAAAGGATATTGACATGAAACACCACTTCCTTTATTTTGGGCTCCCAAAATCAAAAGTGAGATTAAAACTAATATATTAACATGTTTAATCTATTAGATATTTAGTATACTCAATGCAGTAATGCACTAACAAACTTTAAGAACTACTATTATATAACTTTTCTGTTTTAAATCATTTTTTCCCATAGTGACTGAAAGTTTTAACCTTAGTTTGAAACATAACACTTTATAGCCTGTCATGTAGGTTAACAGTTCCTTCTTTGGAACAAAATACAGTTGAGGTATTTATTCATTTTAGCAGATAGCACGGAGGGAATTTTTTTTAAGTACACACCAGATCTTCATTTAAGTTTTTGTCAAGGTTAAGGAACAAAAATAGGCCTAACTCAGTGAAAGAAAAGCGCCATTGCACTGATGTTGTCATCCCTGTGGGTTTTAGAGGCTGACTGGTCTATTCGCTTGGGAGAGGCAGAGACCCATCCCTCCTGTCTCTATTATAAAACAGCTTAAAAGAAAAGAAAAGCAGCCCAAACCTACCTTTTAAAAAACAAATTGTGTAGAAAGTCCCAAAGAGGATCAAAAAAACATTGTCATTGGAAAACTAAAATCACCACAGGTTATTTCCTTGCTTGAATCAGGCTTCCTTGCCTCCCTTGATTTTCTTCCACAACAGTGTCATCTGCCAGCTAGATCCAGCCAGACTAGATCCACTTGACCCTTCTCATTCCTCCCTAGACTAACTACAAACAAAAATACCCATTCACAGTGATAAGTTGCCTGCTTCTGATGGGTAGGAGGAATATAATGGAAACACTTCCTCTCATCAAGGCATTCTATGGTCTAGACAGACTTGATAGATCAATTTTTTTTCAGCGTTTATCAACAAGGATACCTTTTAATAGGAAGTGTGTGTGTGTGTGTGTGTGTGTGTGTGTGTGTGTTGCTGGGGATGGAATCCAGGGCCTTGTGCGTATGAGGCAAGCACTCTACCAACTCAGCTATATCCCCAGCCCTGATAGGAAATATTTTTATGAGAGAATGCCTCCTGTTTGGAGCATAATTTCTTGAGCTGTTCAGGACTTCATCTCTGCTTTGAGTGTTAGGCAATTCCCAGTATATGGGTGTATATGGAGGAATGAATAGTGATATCTTGTTGCAAATAGATTTAGAAAACTGAAGGTACCATCTAGCTGTACAAGTCTGATTCTGCATTAGAAACAAATAGGGAATTGAGAGGAGAGCCTTCCTAGGAATAGTCCACAGGAATCCGGGGGCTGCAGGGAAGAACTGCAGACAAGCTCTCACACACAGGAAATCAGCTTGGAATAATATCCAGTTCATTCTGTATTCGGGTTACATAACAGTGGCACATATCTACTGAATTACTTTTTTTTTTTTTAAAGGAATGTTTATATCCTTGGAATGTCACTCTAAGGGGAAAAAAAATAAAAGTTTCCCCCCACCACCACCAGAGTGTTCCATGCTAAAAAGTCACTATCTTCTTTTTGGCTCAATGAGCAACATTTTATTCACAATTATGGCCAACAGTTACCAGGTTCCTATGGTTATAGAAATGAAGTTTCAATGCACATGAAGAATTTTGAGGAGATGCATATAATCCCACATTCCCAGGGACAGAGCTTGGAAGAGAGCTGAATCCAAAGTTTCAACATAACCAGGCTACTTTTACAACTTTATTTCTGTGTTTATATTTCATTATGTAGCAAAAGTAAAGTCTTCAGGGCTCCATGAAGCTAGGGAGTAGTGGTGTCTAAATCTAGTTACTGAATTACTTGCCTTCACATTATCACTGCAAAACAATAGAAAGTATCTGAGGTTCTTCAATGACAGAACTCAATTCAAAATGAAATACTTTCAAAAAATTTTCTTATTCCTACAAAATGTACACCAAAAATCTCAAATTCAGAAAGGTACTCTAAGGTAACTGGGTTTTATCATGTATAGGTTGAAGTTTCCAATAATTGTTATAGGAATGGTTTTTTCCATTAATCAGCTGACTGATTAATCAACCGTTTTGGCTGAAAATACAAAAAAATGATCAAATGATATGAACTTTACTCATTCAAGTTCATTATTAAACATTCTCAATGCTATTAGCCAATTACTGAGTATTTAAATAAACTCTTTTCAAGGAATTTTAAGATATATCAGATCTTATGACACCATGAAAATCTCTTCCCACAAAATCCTCAAAATCTGATAAATTTTCACCTAGTTAAAACATCAACATTTTGGGAATTACAAATTTGAGAAAGGAGGTTTTGCACATCACAGAGTTACAACTCTTACATAAAAGACACTCCTTTCTAGGCACAGCAGGTGGTTGACATTTATATGAATGACTACTTGAGTTCATAAGAGTTTGTTTTTTTTCTTCCACTTTTGAACTTTAGGGTTTAGGTTTACACATCATTCCATTTCTTAGTGGGGCTGAATTAATCTGAGCTTTTGAACTTCAAATGAACCTGGACTGAGGTTTAGAGTTTATAATGTAACATGACACTAAGCAAGCTCCCCTGGTTTCAGGTTAATTGTTGAAGACTTCATATCTTCAGGGCATAGGAAGCATATGTCTGGCACACTTCAGAAATTATTGGGTTTTTGTTTTTTTTAAAGGCAAGTCTGCTATGTGCACAAAAATCAACTCCATAGGCATAGCTATTCCGTTGTTGCAAAACTGGAAATTCTCAAGAATCCTCTCTTGTTCTACCTTCCAGGTCCTAACTTTCTTTCTGCACTTTAGTCCTTAGTTTAGCAAGTTCCTCTTCTAAACTTTTTATGTGTTCCTTCAGTGTGGCCTTATCTTGCTGGGCTTTCTGATTGGCTTGGCTTCGTGCTTCTTCAATCTTCCTCTCATACCATTTTTCCATCTGGGTAGAAACAGCTTCAAAAAAATACTGGGTAAGCTCCAGGGCTTGGGAGGTGTCTCGAATGTGGGGGGTAGTCAGTTCACTGCCTGCAGCTGGTTGCTGCTGCCCACAGTGGGTGCTAGGTGCTGGTTGCTGGGCTCGATGCCTCATCTGCCCACTTTTCCCAGACTTCTTGGTTTGAGTGCCTCTGTTGACGCAAGGCCCAGCCTGCTGATCACATCTGGCTGCCTCATTCAGGGGTAGCAGTGCTGTCTGGACCTTGGCATTCCTCAGCCGGGAGCCTGCACAGTCAGAGGAAGATAGCTCCTGCTGGAGTCTCTGAGCAACAGTGGAATTGAGGGCCTTTTCCTTGGGCCTGACCACCTGAGAGGAGCTGTCAGAAGCTGCTGCTGGACCTGCAGTCACCACTGATTGATCCACACCTAGTTTCAGAAGGAAAGAAACATCAGAGCAAACCCACATTCAACAGACGCATGGCAGTGTGATAGCATCTGTTTGAGAGTCCTGGAAATCCTGAAACCACAAGTCTTCTCAGTCCACACCCATCACATGCAACTTCTCTGTGGTTTTGTTTTCATGTTTTTGTCCCTCCCTTCCACCTGTCTCCCCTGATTATTAGTTTGGCTTATGAGGACTTTTGTGGATTCTTGACAGCCACAATGGTGGCATCCAGTTTTAAAATTTGCTGGCCTTGCCTTTAGCATCTTCTCAATCTACCCAAGAATGCTCTGGGTCTCATTTCCTGATGCCTAATGATGACAGTTCACTAAGCATCTCAGAACAGAAAGGGCATTTTCTATGAGAATATTCCCCTTCTCCAATTTCTGGGCCATAAAATCAAAGTACCAGTTCCTTAGCCCAAGTTCCAATTCCAAAACTGGTCCTCTTCCCAAAAGCTCCATAATAAGCTCCATGATTACTCCTGGAATAAAAAATTTGCCCATGATATTTCCTAGTATGTCCGCACAAAGACAAAACCACAGTCCCAGACATGACTGTGGTAACACAAAACATTGGGCTTCCCAAAGGCCCCCCAGTGAGGCCTAGTTACCAGACACTGAGTGACCTCAAAATTTTTATTGAGTATTACACTATTTAATGTAAAGGTGTTTTGCTTGGAGCACCTATTATCTATTACCTGAGGCAAGTTCAACACATGAACTACTGTTTAATAAGGCTTTGTATAGTTGGACAGAGGCAAAAAAAAAAAAAGTCAAGGAGAAGAAATGGGGAAAAGGTACAAAGGACAAGGAAGAGAGACCTGCTAAGGAGACAGATGGTCATCCATCACACTTCTATTTGGGGTCCATTCTGACCCCATTCCACATTGTACCTAATACACTGTTATTCCTGATCAATAACTCTTCCATTCCTTCATTCAAATAATGTTTGGGTACTAAAATAAGACCACTTGATTACTTTCTCAAAACTGAGCATGTAGTTGTGAGCAAAACATGGTCCTTGCCCCTAAAGAGCTAATCATGCAACCTGGTGTTTTCTATAGCCCTATCAGAAGGACTACTGCCTTTGAGGCAGGAGAAAACAAGATCTGGGGCTTGCATTACCTTTGGACAAAAGGGCCCTCTCTGTATATTGGTTACCTGTAGAGGATTCACAAGTAGATGGTGTAGATTTAGCCCTGGAGGCCCTAGAATCTCCAGAAAGCTTCAGCTCCAGATTCTGAATCTTTAACACACACCAGGTTTTTAATTCATCCACCAAGGACATCTAAAAATAAATAATAGTATAGAAAAGAATGAGGTGAATTTGATATATGGTTTCTGAAATTTAGCAGTAAGATTAAATTCTTTAGCATTAAGAATGAACTTGTATATTATGATAGTTGAGGTTAACCATTCTGACAAACCTAAAAGTTGTAGATTACTCATCCACCTTCAGGCCATCCCTTGCATCCAAACTGACAGCTATCTATATCTTAAGCAACTTACAGTCACCTTAAACAAAGCTACTCAAATCTTCTGAACCAAGCATTCCAGGCTGCTGAGAAGCATGAGCTCTCACACATGAGTATTTGTTCCATATCTATAGTCCTAGGTAGACAGTTAACTCCCTTAGGGCAGGAACCATGTCTTGTTTGACAATGTATAATGGCCCAATGAACCCCAAATACATAGGACTGATTCCTGGCAGAGATGACCTTCCCCCAGCCTGCTCAGTCAGTCCCTACCAACTGCCAGCATATTCTACAACAGACACAAACTACAAGTTCTTTGCTATTAACTTCATTTTGGGGTGGCAAAAATAACATGCTATGTAATAAAAATGATTTTCAGGAGTCCCAGGCTGAGTTTTAATGATAGGCCAGAATCTTTTAAGTCAGTAAACATGGTGAATCATGAGCAAAGGACTGACAGATACTGGTTTTTACCTGTCGTTTCTCTCCCTCATGCTTCTCCGCATCTGAGTGTTGCTGCAAACGATTCACACATTCTGTTCTCTCTGCCGAGAGTCGCTCAACCATCAGTTTGTCCAGAACTCGCATCTGGGATTCAGGGGGAACAGTACATGCTGAGATGATCAAAGGCTAGGCCCTGGCCTCTCTGCTCTTGAGAACATGCCCAGCAGGGTCCAGAGAACAAGAAGAATTCAACTCCTCCTCCCATTAGATTTTCATACAGTGTTCATGGAACTCTAGTTGTTCAAAGTTCCTGAGCATATTTCTATAAGGCCAATGTTGTTTCTTTTAATCATTTATTAAAGTCCTGAATTTAAGAGACTATGAATACATAGTAAATACACAACTTAAGCAAATGCAGACCTTACAAGCAAACAGGAATTTTTCTGAGTTTTTGGACATTATTTCCAAGATTGTTATTAGGAAAAACTGTCTCCAGAAGTACAAAGCCGCTTCCTTATCCTACCTTCATAATAAAGAAAATATTAACAGCTGATTAAGAAGTAGCAAAACAAGCTGAACATTTGGTATTTTCACCCAGCTTTTCAAATGAGCAAGAATTTTTTGGTAATTCATAAAAATAGAGCATAGGATATAGAAAGTGTTTAAGATCGCTGATGAGACCTTTGAGAACCACTTTTAGATTACAGCTTCTGGACTCCCTTCCATCCTGACATTTCCCATGGGAGCCCAATAGCAGCAGTGCCAAACCGTCACCACTTTCTGATGGTCCAAAGAAAAGAATGGAACTACTGTTCGCAGGAACCAGCCCATGAGGCCAGTTGGCGAGTTCCTTTCCTATCAGCGACATACATGGCATTCTACATGCAGGTGTTCAATTTTTTTTTAAAGAAATATTAGCTCTAGAGCTGGGGTGAGCACTTTCCATTTTATCTCTTCAGTCCCACATTGTCTGTGAACAGCTCTCATCCTGTTCCCAGGATAAGCCTACTCCCCCACTTGTGTCTCCCCAAGAGCAGCCATGTGTACTCAGAACTTGTCACAGGTCACAGTGACCTGGCATAAGAAAGATCCCGACTCACACGGGGCACTGTCCTGCCATGTGGAGTGTGTACTGACACTGCACCCCAATCTGTCACCTTCCCTGACCTTTAGAGAGCTCCCTGGAATAGCTAGCATTTGTCTAATACAATCCTTCATGGGTGAGGCTAGCTAAAACAATCTTAGCTCATGTATCATGGTCCCAGGAAAAGATGTTTTTAATGGCTTCTCCACAATACAAATATCAATTATATCTCTAAAATATTCAATCTTCAGACTGGGGTTGTGGCTCAGTGGTAGAGTGCTCACCTAGCATGCATGAGGCACTGGGTTTGATCCTCAGCACAACATAAAAAAATAAGTAAAATAAAGTTATTGTGTCCATCTACAACTAAATATACATATAAAATATTAAATCTCACCAGTAAACAGAAAATGAAACCTAAACAGTAAAATATCCTGAATTTAACAAAATTATGGTAAAAATAAATAATGGCTAAGCTTTAGACAAAATTCAACACTGCTGGCAGGATACAAACTAGTACAACCTTTCTATTAAGTAATTTGCCAACATTTATCAAGAGCCATAAACATTAACTTTGGACTCGATTATCTTAATTCTGAGCAAAATAATCTGAGAAGCAGTCAAAAAAATATGCATATAAATGTCCACCATAGCATTACTATATGAAAAGTCTATGGGCTGGGGTTGTGGCTCAGGAGTAGAGAGTGCTTGCCTAGCACGTGTGAGGCCCTGGGTTTGATCCTTGGCACCACATGAAAATAAATTTTTAAAAGTCTAATAAAAAGAGATATGTTCTATTAATATGCTGGAATATTGTGAAGCTGGAATATTTTGAGAAAATTTTCATAACATAAAATTAGTGAAAAAAAGCAATAAGCAAGATACTATCACTCCCTGGGCACAGTGGTACATGTTTGTGATCCCAACAACTTAGGAGGCTGACGCAGAAGGATTACCAAGTTCAAAGTCAGCTCCAGCAACTTAGTGAGACCCTGTCTCAAAAATAAATAAATAAATAAATAAAAGAGCTGGGGATGTAGCTCAGTGGTAGAGTGCCCCTGGGCATTGCAAATAAATAAAAACTATTCCTTTGCATGTAGTAATAATACACAGCCATTAAAAAGCACACCATAGCTCCACATGTCTGGGGCATATTACTAGATTAAAAATAAGGCTGCCAAGAAAAAAGCACATGATTTCAATTTTGCTTAAAAATGATCATTACAGGGGCTGGGGCTCAGTAGTACAGCACTTCCCTAGCATATGTGAGACACTGGATTCAATTCTCAGCACCACATATAAATAAATGAACAACATAAAGGTCCACCAACATCTAAAAAATACTTTAGAAATTGATCATTGGGGCTGGAGTTGTGGCTCAGTGGTGGAGTACTTGCCTAGCATGTGTGAGGCCCTGGGTACAATCCTCAACCCCGCAAATAAAAGATCCATTTATAACTAAAAAATATTTTTTAAAAAAAAAAACTGATCATTATAGAGTTTATAATCTATATGAGTAAAACCTATGGGAGATGAAAGAGATCTATGGGGAATGTCATAAAGATACATATTTCTGTAATGTAAATGGTTTTTCCAGTGCATATCTTATTTTGTATGTTTTTTCTTTTAACTGAAAACTCTTATCACACATTTCTTTAATTGCAAAGGGTGCACATACCTTTACAGTTGAAGAATATGGGAGTTAACTGTTTAGCCAAGTGATCAAACTTAGTATCATTGATAATCAAATATCCTGACATTGTATGCCTGTAGATATGAGGCAAGTTGAAGTTTACACGATTAACTATATTCCTTTTTTTTTTTTGAGAGAGAATTTTTTAATATTTATTTTTTAGTTTTTGGTGGGCACAACATCTTTGTTTGTATGTGGTGCTGAGGATCGAACCCGGGCCGCACGCATGCCAGGCGAGCGCGCTACCACTTGAGCCACATCCCCAGCCCGCTTAACTATATTCCTAGAATACCTGAACCAAAGTAGCCATCTAGACCAGCAGTTCTCAAACTTTAGCACATGAGGGCATCACCTGTAGGTCTTGTTGACACCCATGTTGATGGGCCCCACCCCAATTTTATTCACAATTCAATCCAGTACAGTAGATCTGGAATGAGACCCAAGAGTGTACTCACCATGCACCTCAAAGTCTTCAGAGGATGCAGGTGTTGGGATCACATTCTATTGTGGGAGGCCATCCTCGCATGTGATTTGAGTTACCTCCCTGGCTGGGTGAGAGGTGCTTAAACACAGCTGTGTCTAAGCCATTCCCCACCCTTTCCCAGTTTCAAGGGCTTGTCCATGCAGAGGCATGCCTGGCCACTGATCTGAAGACCCAATCGCCAGCCCTGACCATGGGATGATGCCCTCCTTAACCTTCATTGGATGGGATTTTCCCTTGAATTTTTTGTTCCCCAATAAAAGCTCACTCCCCGGCGTGCTCTCCCTCTCTTGCTAGTCTCTTCTGTAAACCTCACCACCGCATTAGGTGGCTGGAAGCGGGAGCTAGGAGAAGCCGTCTGGGAGCTGGGGTTAAAGGTAATGAGAGTCTGTCTCTATAAAACTCACTAGTAATTTCTTATGCACCAAACCTTCTTTTATGAAGCTCGCGCTCTATAATTAAATAACTTTCAGTTTACAGAAATACAGGGATAAAGGAACAATTTAAATACTACCACAAAGAAATTACTACACAAATTCAGAATGTAGAACATCCTATAAAATAACTGTCCTGGATACTTAAAAGAGTTAATATCATGGGGGAGAAAAAGCTCAGAGAATTGGGGCTGTTCTAGATTAAGCAACCACAGAGACTTAACAGTCAAACGCATACAAATGAGTCTTTACTGGATTCCAGAGTAGAATCAAAAACAAAAACAGATAAAAATATGTCTTGGGACACCTAAAGCCTATAATCCCACCATGAGGCTGACGCAGGAGGATTCCAAGTTCAAGGCCAGCCAATTTAGCAAGACTGTCTCAAAACAAAAAAAAAAAAAAAAAAGAAAGAAAGAAAGAAAAAGGGCTGGGGATTTTTATAGCTCATTGGTAGAGTGCCCCTCTCTGACATCGCATCTGATACTTTCAGGGCAGAAGAACGCTAAGACCCCCTTTTCTCTCATTCTCTCTCTTTTTTTTTTAATGATGTGGGGAGAGTGCAAGGGATTGAATCCAGGGCCTCATGCTTGCTAGGCAAGGGCTCTGCCATTCAGCTCTATCCCCAGTTGTAAAGTCTCTGGTTTTATTTTCTGCCAGGACACCTAGAAATAAGGAGGCTAGCCTTCCCGCTTACTTGGTGCTGGGTCTTACTCTCCATATGCCCCAGCTTGGTGTTCATTTTATCCTGCACCGATCCCAGCTCTGCCTTAATCTCCTCTACCGTTGCCTCCAGCTGATTCTCCAGCTTGTTGATCAGAGGTTCACATCGACAACCGTTTATTGGTGCCTAAGAGGGAAGAGGAAAAAAGAATCAGTCTGAGGGCTGGGGATGTGGCTCGAGTGGTAACGCGCTCGCCTGGCATGCACGGGGTGCTGGGTTCGATCCTCAGCACCACATAAAAATAAAGATGTTGTGTTCACTGAAAACAGAAAATATTTAAAAAAAAAAAAAAAAGAATCAGTCTGAGTCCTTTGATCCAGAAGGACCGGCTGTAGACCACAGGGATACAGATGACAGAAGATGAACTCATCCCTGTCCTACGAGCTCAGCTTTGGGTCCAGCAGACACTAAGAAGATTGAAGGTAAGACACGGTCCCTGTCTTCAAGCTGCTTTTTGTCACTCTGGGACCTCAGGATACCTAGTCACCTCAGGATGGAGCACAAGGCCCTGTAAAGGCACCCTGCTTGACAGAAGCTAAGAGGCAGGAGCATACGGCACCGTTTAGTGAAAATGCCATCTGGCTTGCCTCCTAAACCCGTCCTTACCAAGCCAATGTCTCAAGGGGCCATCAGACCCCAGGAATAGAGTTAAATAAAAAATCTGGCTGGAGGCCACTGGTCCCAGTCCCAGCAGGCTGTGCAAGTACCTGCATCACTTTGCCATCCTTGCCCCGGTACAACGTGTAGAGCTGGTATGCCCTGAACTCATGGGGTGGTGGTGGGGACGAGCACCGGTGCCGGCCCCTCTTCTTGGGGTGGTGATGTGTGTGTGAGCTCTTCTGGTGTCCAGGCTGTTGGTCTGCTGGTGGGGTGGGGTCAGACAATGCTGACACCTGTGGGGAAGGAAGAGTCAACACCCCTGAGCCCTGGGACATCTGTAAGAGTAACACCCAGACAATGGCTCCCACCTCCCCAGCTTTTCAGCAAAGATGTTTAACACAACCAAAATTAAAAAAAAAAAAAAAAATACCAGCACATTCACCCCGAGTCTGAAATGAGCCAGACTTGATGCCTATGTTCTGGCTCAGACCAGCAGGCCAGGTAAGGTTCCTTCTTAGCTGTTGGCTTGATGAGCCCCAGGAATGCCCCCAACCTCCTCCCTCTTAGCTGTTTTCAGTACCTGCTGACCTTAGGCCTTGCCTTTCTCCTCCTGTCATCCTTGGCTCTGGGTTCTGGGGAGGCTGACAGAAATTCATCTCTGGCTTCCTCTTTTCTGAGTACAGCCTGTTCACTGCTGGGGCTGTCCCCTGCTGAGACACTTCCCTACAGAGAAAAAAAAATCCCAAAATCCTGCTCTGCTTGCTCCTTCAGTTTTTTTTCCACCAACAGGGTAAAACTGCTTGCAAGACTCCATCCAGTAGGAGACCCAGGGGCACCTGATGCTTACACGAACAGGGAACACTGCTCAGCAGTGTTCAACCTGATTGGTTAAATATTTTTTGTTTATTTTATTAAGTCCAAATGAAATACATTTGTGTGTCTAAATATTATGTTCTAGAATCCCAGGAATCTACCATACATGAAAGAATGTTAGAGATTTGGGGTCTTTTTTCACTTCACCAAAATATAACTAATCATTTTCTGAATTTGGACCCCCACAATTTATGTCAGAGAGTGAAAACCCTCAGAAATGAAAAAAAATATATATATATGTATATACATACACACATATATATGTATATGTGTGTGTGTTTACATACACACACACACATATATATGTATATGTGTGCGTGTTTGTGTATGAAATCTCATGTCTGGTCTTTGTCAGAATTTTTACAACTTAATATGTACAATACACATATAGGAACTGAAAATTATGGTGCCTTCACCCTGGAAATTGACAAAAGGATTTTGAAATAGAAGGGCAAGTACTGGATAACATTTTATGTGCCCAAATTCATTTCTATATTTAGTTTTCTTACTCCTGAAAAACTTAAAAGGAGTACCATGTACAACCAGGCAAGCTGTTCACTGCACAAGGGCACCTAGCTAGCGAAGTAAGGCAGAGGGGGATGAAATCCAACTCAGGCTCAATTTATCATATGCCCAGGGGACATCTTTTTCTGATTTGCCCAGAGAATCAATATGGGTCATCAAAGCCTTGGTTCATTCTCTAAGTGGAAACTAAGGAACCAACCCATGCCAGTGGTTCTCATGAGAATCACCCAAGGACTGGGTCAACCATGAACTGCTGGTCCTCACCCCAGAGTTTCTGATCCACTGGGTGTGAGATGAGGCCTGAGAAGGCATATTTCTAACAAAGTTCCAAGTGATGCATGGACACCACACTTGGAGAACCACAGCTCCACATGGCAAGGGTTAATGTCAGAGGCTTTGCTGTGCACACATCAGGGACAAAGGTGACAGACACATGGGCTAGTGAACATGCCCATGCAGGGCACTGGATGGGCGACAGGCTTCAGACAGACACAGGATCAATATCTTGGAGGAGTGGAGGACGTGGAGCCCAAAGGAGAAAGATGAGCAATAGAGTTTGAGGAGCCCAGGGGGAAGGAGAGGCCGAGGCACGAGAGCCACGAGGTGAACCTGGCAGAAGGGGCCACTCAGGGGGACCCCCAACCTTGCTTTGGGCCACCTCATCTCTTGGCACGGACTGGGCCCTCCTTTCTTCCTTGAGCCTCTCTCTCCTTTTCCTCAGGCTTCGCCCACGACTGAAGCGCAAGACCTGAAGGAAGCAGATGGAATCGTTACAGAGCACTGGCGTGCACACGTCAGGTGTGAGAATTCTCCCTGACCTGGTTCTCTGACCTGAGGAACTTACAGCCTAGTGAGAGACACCAAGCATTCACATGAAACATGAAACAAGCACCTCTGGAGCCACTATCTCCTAGGTCCTGTGCTGGGCATCACAGGAACCCAGAGAAGGGTAGGATATTTCCTCTGACCTCAAAAATCTCAGATTCTATGATAACCTCAACAGGTATGGCCAAGTAGGTGTGTATAAATTGTGCACTGCCTAACTCCAGGGAATGTCACACTGTGGTGGAGATACCAGATTGGATTATAAAATGAAGTTATAAGAACATTATGATAAAAAATCAGTGCCCAAGGAAAGGATTAATTTCTCCCCCTCTCCTCTGCCAGCCTCTCTGCAGGGAACCTAATTAACCAAGGGTCCCTATCTGTTGGGTTGTATATAGCTATCTCTAGGAAGCCTGAAAACTAACTCTTGATACATAAACATCTCTGACAGGCTTCAAGACCAGGGATGTAACAGATGCCTGTGAAGTTTCTTTTTACTTTGTAAACCTTTTAGGAATGTAGATATATCACTTAATTGCTAGTATAAATTTTAGGTCTCTATGCTAATTAACTGCTGCCTAAACTACACCTCATAGGCTTAGTTCTTAGAGATAACTCTTACGGAGATAAACTCAAGTCATCTTGAGTTACTGCTGCCTATGGGAAAGGACACTGTATGATAATACTCACAAGTGTTTTACTGTCTTTGTTCTGCCCCTGTGAACTACTTATCATGAAATTTCTATACAGGGTCCTTGGTCATGAAGGCCAAGAATTGTAACCCACCATTATAGTAATGGTTAATAAATGATGTCAAATATCCTACAAAGAGCCCCCTGTAACCCCAGCTCAGGGACCAGAATTTCAGAATGTTAGCTCATTTGGGTCTGCAGGGATAAATAAACCCGAGTTCTCCAACCCTCAGAATGATGCTTGATCTCTTGCTGAATGTGATTTCCATAACATAAACGAGGACAAGAATGGTGTCACCTGGAGTTGTGTGATATGGCATCCCTGTGCCAGGCATAGTGTCATTCTTTTTTTTTCTTTTGGGTACCAGGGATTAAACTGAGGGGAACTCAACCACTGAGCCACATCCACAGCCCAATTTTCTATTTTATGAGAGACAGGATCTCACTGAGTTGCTTAGTGCCTTGCTGTTGCTGAGGCTGGCTCTGAACTCACGATTTTCCTGTCTCAGCCTCCCAAGCTGCTGGGATTGCAGGCATGTGCCACCGTACCTGGCCATAGTGTCATTCTCTACCTTAGCACACCAGACCTAAACTAGCTCAGATTTTTCCCTTGGCCAAACTGTGTGCAAGTCATATTCAGTTTGAGTCAAATATTATTGAGCTGCAACTGTGAGCCATCACACCAGCTGTGGCCCCCAAAAGACGACATCTGGTCTTCCCTTCACCGTGCAGAGCAGCTGAAGGAAGGCAGACAAGTATGTGTGGGGTTGGACAAGTCCAGGTTCCACCAGAAGCCAGCTGAAGGATCTTCAGGCCGGTAATTTCAGTGCTCTATCCTCTCAAACAGAGTGGTTGGCATTACCAAGAACAAGTAGGTGGTTGGCATACAGGGGAGCCCCAGTCACTGCCAGGTACCTCCTACCTGACTTAGAATTGCTTCATGGGAAGAGGATGTATCTCCATGGAGTGCAGATCTGTGAGTGGGTAGAAATCTTCAATCCTGGGCCCAGAGTGTTTAAGAATGCAAAAGGGTCCTTAGACCAAAAACTGAGAAGCACTGCCCTAAGCCATTTCTAAATTCAGACTCAGTAGAAAGTCAAGGCTGATGAAAGAGTTTCATTCTGATTGCTCACCTGGTTTGTGGCCTCTTAGGAGATAGAGCCAAAATCGGCCTGAAATTCGCTTCCCAGGCATTTGTGAACCCCATCAATCAAATATGACAAGTGACACTTAGAGGTCATCCAAACTCAAAACAATCAACAAAATTCCCTCCATTTACCATGTCATTAACCAGTGAAAATAACTTTGCAAGACTTACAGTCTTTCTCAGTGAACCATACCATCTACCAAATGGTACATCATTAATCTTTTCCAGTCCATGGGAATCAGGAAATAGCAATCTTGAGGCCTCGGAAAGCAGCCTACTTTTAGTGCCGCTGTGGCCCTTAAAATCCATGTTCCAATAAGGGACTAAGGCAGGGACACTTCTCTTTGCAGACAAGACAAATAGTAAGGCTGTTTCTGTCACTACACAGCTCAACAGAATGGCATGCATAAAATTCTATGCATATCTTAAAGTTCTTTATGTTGAGAATAGGTTAAGCATGTACAATTATGTGTGAAATAAACTTCCATAACATGTCATCCAATTTTCTTGCTCTTCAGTGTGGATGTGGAAAAACTGAAGTCATTTTTAAACAAAAACACAAAAGCAGAGCTTCACAGGGAATGGTGAAGCTTTTCTCCTTATAAGTGAAGACTCTTGGGTTCTGGAAGACACATGACAGGTGATTAAAGACACATCAGTCTTTTGGAGTGGGGAATTCTCCACCCCTCCAGGCTCCATGGTCTTTGTATAGCTGAGGATGGGTCCATCAAATTGTCAAATGCTGAAATGCCCAACACATACAATGAATTCTGACATTTATATACTACTCTGTGGTTTGTTTTTGGTACTGGGATTGAACCCAGGGGTGCTTAACCACTGAGCCACATCCCCAGACCTTTTTTGTATTTTATTTAGAGACAAGGTCTCACTGAGTTGCTTAGGGCCTCACTAAATTGCTGAGGCTGGCTTTGAACTTGCGATCCTCTTGTCTCAGCCTCCCAAGCCACTGGGATTACAGGTGTGCACTACTGCAGCAGGTAACCTGTGCTTTTTGGTCCATGGGAGACCAGCATTTTTTCTACTAGGATTCATGGATGTAATTCCATTAATGATTCTCTGCAAAAAGGTGGAGATGAGACATTCCATTTCTAGCAGCTTCTCACACCTGACTCCTATTATTAAGAGTCAATGGACCTTCACAGACCACTGAGAAGGACCAGCTCCACACTCAAGAGAGTGATCAATTTTGCAAAAGACAGAAGTCTCCAGAAACTGCTAGCCATATTTGACATGTTTTTAAAACTTATAAAGACCACATAAAACCCTGGACTAGGCTGGTATATAGCAGGGTAGTGTTTAGAATCTTGACTTTTTGAGATTTTGCCTTCTTGCAACATTAGCCAGAAAAAGATGGAAAACCCATCAGTGTTTACTATAAGAGAGTAGCTCCAATATGGAAAAAAACCTCAATGTCCAACATTCAGGAAATGGCTTAACAAAATATTCACAGCAATAAAAAAAGAACATTATGTTTCCATTATAATTATGAAGACTGCAGAGTATTATCCTTTTATGGTGAAAGGCAAAATATAAAAGGGTACATCCAGTGAGAGTCTGATTATAGAAAAACTGTGCCTCTGGAGGGTAATATAAAGAAACAGTTATTTGAGGGTACAAGAATTATGACCAGCTTGTAAATTTTTTAAATTTCTTTATTACTTAGATAATGTCAACTTCAACTCAAATGATAACATATCAGCCATCATTTTCTGAATAAGGGTCAAAATACCATTATTCAATAAAAAAGGAATGAATACTATACTTAACTGTCTCTACAGGCTGATTACTGCTGTGCCTAGAATGGTCCCCTCCCTCCCACCCTCCTCTGGGAAATACCCCGCCTCTTTTCAAAGGCCTGTCCCACTTGTTCAGCAGTGGCATCTGCCCCAGCAGTCCTCTCCTGCAGTGTTTTAAACCCGGGTGGCTGGGAAGTTATGGTCCAGGAAGCTGGTGATGATGATGACATGCTATCAGGGAACAATAGCACCAAGTATAAAGGGCTGGACTTGAAGGCTTTGGTTCATCATCCCAGAGGCTCACAAGGATCCCTACTGCCTGGCTAGTAAGCAGTATTGCTTAGTGGACAGCAACTCGAGAAGTCCCAATGACTTGGCAGCCCCATGTCATCAGTACAAGGCAAAGTGCTGTAATCCTACCTGGGGAGCTTTAGTGAGGAGGAGAGCAACTTCTGGGTTGTTGTGGTAGCGGGCGGTCTCCAGCGGAGTCTGGCCTGCCTAAGGAAAGGCACAGGGAAGGCAGGTGAGAAAGGGACACCAATGCTGCCACACGTGGCTCTCCCCAGGAGTGGCAGCTCCACACTGGGACACTCAGCCCCTGCAAGTGCTCAGCAAAACACAGCCATGCACAAGCCCGTCCTGCCCTTCAGCCTCATGCCAATCACCCAGGGCACCAAGCAACACCGGGTTCTCTGTGACAGAAGGCAAGTGTTGACCCAGGGAGCAGGAAGTGCTTTAGGAGGCAAATGTCAAGGGCATCGCCCACCAGAGAATGCTTCCTGGAAAAGAGGAGGGAAGGTCAAAATCAGAAGGATAGAGGAGGAACATTTCTAGTCAGGAAACAACACAAAGGATCATAAAATCCACTGGCAATAGATTTTCCCTGGAGAACAGTGAAGGGCCACATCAGGTCGGCCATAGTGTCTCAGAAGATTAAGCCAAAACCAGGAATGGATAATGGTGGTTTTGAAAAGGAAGAGGAAGGCAGCCAGGAAGAGAGGGCTGTGCCATCCAGATCATGCTAACTCCACCTGACAGTCCCGGCCCTTGGCCCGTCTGCTATACTTCCTGGCCTAGGATGGCTTCCAGGTCAAACCAAGATTCACCTCCCAAGCACATGAGACCCTTGTCAAAGCATCATGTGGTTCTGTTCGTGGAGATCTCAGAACTAATGGCCTAGGCACCCAGATCACATTTATGTCTGACTAGGGTTTCCTGGAGTCATGGAACAGGATTAAATGCAGAGGCTAAGTAGTGGTGGGCTGGTTGCCAGAGCAGGTGCTAGGGCCATCTAGAGAAGGCAGGAAGAGGAAGGGAAAGCTAGACACAGAGCTAGCAAAGATCAGGAGCCTTTCGCCAGGTCAACAGCCCAGAACCCTACACGGCTATCCCACCCCAGGCCCCTCTGAGCTTCTCGGAAGGGCAGAGACTGGAGGCTAGCTTCGAGGAAGAACAATGGCTTTGACTGGTGCCTGTTATAGAACCTGGGGAGATGGAGAAAGAAGGAAGGAACAAGGAGCAGTGATTTGGGAGTTCAAGGCTGGTTAGTCTAATGACTGAGGCCATCTTCCTGAGGCCACAGGTGCTCACAGGTCTGGCACTCACTTTTGGTAACATCCACTTGCCAATTTGGATACCTCTGAGCTTATTTTCCTACCAAGTTGTGCTCACTGCTGCTAGGTATGTAAAGGAGGGCCCTCAGGGACTGTCCACTCCTGGTGCTGTGTAGTGCTGGGGTCCCCTCCAGCCTTCCCCAAGGACCCCAGGGGCTATAGCTTCAGTGGAGCTGGCTGGATCCTCAGGGTCTGCTGTGGGTTAGTGGAAACACCCACCCCCCATCCTGGATGGAGATGAGAAAGCCTTCAGGAGACCACTGTTGCAACTCGACTTACATTATTGACGATGGTTCCATCTGCTCCAGCTTCTAGTAAGAGTTTAACCACCTTCTTGTGATTTAGGGCAGCAGCAACATGAAGGGCTGTGTCTCCAGCCTGAAAAATCAGACAGCATGCTGACTCCACCTGATGGTCCCAGCCCTTGGCCCGCCTGCTATTCTTCCTGGCCTAGGATGGTTTCCAGGTCAAACCAAGATTCACCTCCTGAGCACATGAGACCCTTGTCAAGGCATCATGTGGTTCTGTTCAAAGAGATCTCAGAACTAATGGCCTAGGCACCCAGATCACATTTATGTCTGACTAGGGTTTCCTGGAGTCATGGAACAGGATTAAATGCAGAGGCTAAGTAGTGGTGGGCTGGTTGCCAAGAATGATGGGACCCAAGGCTTCACCAAGGCAGGATGATGGGCAGGAAGCCCACGGCCAGCAGGCTTCTCATCCCAGAGCTCTGGGTCCTGCGCCTCTGCCCAGGGATTAGAGGTCAGAGGAACAGTTGGTTTCTGAGTGCTGGACTGAGCAGAAGCTGAGGGGGAAAAAAAAAAAAAAAGACTACTTCTGCAAGCACTGGAGGGGTAACAGCCCACTCTCAGCCAACCTCATGGACTCAAAGGGGCTCCTGGGACTCAAAACAAAATCCTTCTTCAGATTCAGGGTGTTCTTCGAGTGGAGACACTGAGAAAAGTTCAATTAAGACTAGTTGTTTTCCACCTCTTACCATATAGCTTACAAGTGTTCATATTTTATACAAAGTGTTTTGTAATAAAACACAAAAGGTTGCCTGATTTAAAAATTAAACTTTATGTGTGTACAGATTAAAAAAATAACACACAAAAGGTGTTTTAGACAATTAACTTTGAAAGGAAGAAAGACAACTGCAACTTAGGTTAATTCCAAATGCTGTCATTTTCCAAACAGAATGACAGAAATATACCCGACAAATATAGGAGAAGTGAAATAATTCATTCTCTTCCCCTGCCAGGTGATTAGGCAAAGAGCTTTGATGCTTTTTTCATGGACAGCATGAAAATGTAGCCATCTGTGAGTAGCAGCAACAATGTTTATTTTATTTCACAGCCACTCAGTTGTGAGTGTTGGGGAAGCTTGTGGAAGTGGTTTCCAATCTTGGCTGCATACTGGAATCCTCAGCAGAGCTTTAAAACACACCGATGCCAGGGTTCCACTCTCAGACCCGGTTTCCTTAGTCTATGGTGGGCAAGGGCATGGGAATTGTTAAAAGCACGCAGGTAGCTGTAAAATGCTGCCAAGCTTGAGAAGTGCTGCCTGGTGGGGGCTGTGGACGGGTAATCTGATCGATGAGAACCCACTGGGGAGGTTACAGAATGACAGGCTTAGCTATTTTATTAGGTCAGTGGTTCTCAACCTGGCTGCATATTCAGACAAGGAACTTTTTTAAAAAGTACTATTGCTTGGACCTCAAGCCCGAGATTTTGGCTCTTCTAAACTGGAGTGGATCCAGGAATGGCATTTTTAACTCCCCTGTTGATTCTCATATGCAGCCAGAGTCAAAACTACTGTTATAGGATATATTTAATCTGAACCACAATCTAATGTTTTTTAAATTTTAGATTTATGCATCCAAACTTGGAAAAGTCAAACTATGCATCATTTAGATATCAATAAATATCAAAGACTATTTTATCCAAATGACTGATGATAAACATGCACATTTCCATGGAAGACTATCATAATTACAGCTTCATTTCAAATTCTTACTGTATGCAACAATACAGTTCAGGTACCCAACTTTACAGAAATAAGAGACTCCAGCTGCTCAAATAAAAGTGGCAGTATAAGGAGAAAAACTTGGAGTCAAAAGTCTCTCGATTCCCTCCCTCCCTTCTTTACCAAGCCACACTCCTGTGGGTTTCCTTTTCAAAATTCACTATAAACAAAGCCTGCCCCAGGATCTCAAAAAAAAAAAAATTCAAAATGCAAATGTGGTGATATGCACAGGAATGATAAAGGGTGTGCGTTCCCCAAAAGGCCAGATTGGCAAGACCAGTGGGACTCCATAGGATAACCACACAGAGACCAGTGCTGGTGGAGTCCCAAGCAGGTCAGAGGGCAGCACCTCCCAGCAGCCTCTGCTCCTGGCTGTGCTAACACACGTGTCAGGTAGCCTAGTACGAAGGATGCCACAGCCATGAAGAGGATACATGCACTGACCTGGTTCTTTTCATGGACAGAACAGAAAGCACTGAGGAGGAGCCTAATGATGGACAAGTGATTATAGCGCGCAGCAACGTGCAAACAGGTGTCGCCTGCCTGCGGACAGAAATCAAACTCTAAGCACAGTCAGCAATTACAAAACAAAAGAGAAACATAAAAAAATATATATCATTTAAAAGCTGGAAGATCATCATATATTCATTAGGGGATGGTACCCTGAATAATAAGCAACTCAACATAAACGCCCCACTCCAACCCTTGCAATCCTGTCTGCTGTGGCTGCCATCTGCAGCCCTGATTTTCACTGGGCCGAACCACCATATGGTTTGCTTTCATGTGTGTGAGATGGGATGCCTGCTCCCCGTGAGACCTTTGGCAGAGCTAAGGCAGATGATAAGGATCCATGGACTCCAGCCTACCCTATAACCCAAAGGGTCTGGAGTAAACCAAATTAAGACCACCTACAGCCTTGCTTTGGAAATGAGCCTTTCCAGCATAGACCCCTCATGGCTGGTAGGACCCTAATAATCCAAGTGGAGCCATGTGGCCTGGCTGCTGCTGTCTGCACCCCTTGCTGATGAGCCAGCAGTCACTGGGAGTTAAAAAGAGCATCCAGAAAGCTCTCCCTTAGTAGGCAAGAATCTAAGTCTGCTCCCAGAGAAATGGCAACCACCACAGAGACAGGAAGTTGTCATGCTCTGCAGCATCTCCTGATGATCCACGCTAGCTGTCTAGAGAACAGTGTCCATTCATTGTAACTTTTCCCCCTGGATTAAGGAGGAGACAAGTTCAATGCTGAGGTTCTAAAACTTCAGATGATTCTGTTTCAGATGAGTCTGCTTCACACAGGGAGATCTCAGCCATTTGTGAGAGAAACTTCAGATTCTCCTGCCAACATGTCTAAGGCATGGGATTTGTAAGAGAAAGAACTTCTCTGTGGAGGGAGGAGGGACACTCATGGGACCTTTCAGATCAGGTCTCCTCTAAGAACCACTAGCCCTTTGGCTCATGGGAAGGAACCTCAGTAATTAATAGGACCTGCCCTTTGTAGATGTTGGGAAGGAGCACCTACCAGACCTACCCCTAGGGTATCATCCCATATTTGCCAATAATAGTATGACACTCCACATGAGCAGAGACCTTCTTAAAATGTTTAGGCTTCCTAGACTGCCTCAGACACATGCTGGAAGAAATGATAAAAACAAACTAAAGACGAGGAGCAAAAAAGGATGGGAAATAAACAATATTTCCAAGTCTTTCGATTCCTCTTCTCATTCCCTAAATGACCCCTTAGGAAATTAGCAAAAAAATGAGTAATTTACAGACAGGCCCCAAACATTTCAATCTTTTCATGTAGCTATGACTGGGGGGTGTGTGTCATTTTTCAAGATGACACAAGTGAGAGAACACACAGAAGCCGGTTTCATTCACCCACATTATTTTTGAGGTCAGCGCGGGAGCCACCCAGGAGGAGGACGCGTGTGCTCTGGGAGTGGCTGTTCTGGCAGGCCAGGTGCAGAGCCGTGTTCCCCGCCTTGGAGAGAGGCAGAGAAAAGGGGGTACACATTAGCAACACTGGGGCACAGACCTGCACACCTTGCAGAGGGGTAATACTCGGGGGTAAAAGGTTGATGCTGGCATTCTCTGCCTCCTGACGGGGGTCCCAGTGAGGGTGTTTCAGGGGTAAGAACATTTAACATGGAATCCAAATAGGCAGACAAGTCCTGTCAGGAAACCTGGGTCTGCCATTTCCTAGCTGAAAGCCACTGGGTAAGGTTCTAGAAATGCTTGGCCTGGAAAAGGGAGCAAGATTCTTCCTCCCGAGGCTGTGGGGATGGACACAGAGTGCTCAGGAAGGCACTTCGGGACCATAAAATGCTGCATGTGTGCCAGGTGTCACCCTCTCAGAGAGGACTTCCTGCCCAACGTGGGCATTAGCTGTGGGCACAGCACTCTACCAGTGGTGAAGGAAAGAGGCCAAACCACTTCCTGAAAGTACAGATTAATGGTAATTAAGATTTCACTTGTAGGGCTTTATCAAATCACCTGTTCTTATGTTTTTCTTGAAACATCAAAATTTGAACTGTGAACAAGCCATCCCACATAACAGACAACATCGTTGCACCTGTCACTCACCATACAGGCAGAGACCCTGCTGCTTTTGGACTCTACCTCCAACATATCACATCACAATGACAACCAAGGGTCAGAGTAATGTCCACAGCAATCTTGCAGAAAGAACTGCATGATGTGAACAAAACATTCTGATTCTATGGAATAGTGTCTTGGAGGGCTGCTGGTAACCCCTGGGAAAGCAACAAGATCAGAAATAAGGAAAGCAGAACAGCACAATAGGAGCAGTGGCATGCCTGTGGCATGCAGGGGGTTAAATACATGGGCTCAGAACTGCAGTCATGTGGGTGCTTGGCTGTTGCTAGCTGTTACTGCCTGTTGTCTGCTTCTTCCTCACCTACTTCCCTCCCCTCTGGGCTCACAGCACTGCCTGCTGAAACTCCAGGATGTGAGATTCCTGACCATTGAAAAAAGGAATGAGCAAATCAATAGAGGAAAACTGTCAGTGTTCACTTACTCCCCTCATAACCTAGGCACTAACCAACCTGTAGAGCTTTTTCTGTTACCTCCAGAAACATGAAGGATCATAAACCTGAGTTTGGGAACTGCTGGTTCTCAAACCCTGGCTGCACATTGGAATCAATGGGAGAGCTTTTAGGAAACACCTGTGTTAGAAGGCACAGTGTGCATGCCTGTAATACCAGGTACTGGAGGCTAAAGCAAGGATCACAAATTCAAGGCCAACCTGGGTAACTTAGTGAGACTATCTCAAAAATAATGGCCGAGACGTAGCTCAGTTGTAAAGTGCCCCGGAGTTTAAAAAAAAAAAATAACAAAAAACACCCAAACACAGCTTCAACCCTCTGGGGACTCTAATTCACTTGGCTGGGGGAGTGGGGACATGAGACACACCTGGACTGTCCCAGTTGTGGCATGAAAAGTCCCACATTCTGGGAAATATCAATTCTAGGCAAATGGGGACAGTTGTTCTCATCAGGCCTGGTTTGTTTTTTGTTGAAAATTCCCTAGGAAAACCTAATGTGCAACCAGGTAGAGAACCACTGCTAACTTAGTTCAACTTTAAAGGATCTGCCCACATTTTAAATACTCCCATGTTGTCTCCAAATTGTGAGCCTCATGACAGACTTAAATACATGTTGAATAAATTAGTGAAGTAAAAGACATCCAATGGTTCTTAGAAATGCATCATACCAAAGCTTATTTTGCCAATAAGAAAATATCCGTTACGTGGAAAAAAATTTTGGATCAAGAAAATTAAACAGTGTAGGTTTGTATAAGTGATTTGTGGTACATCCATACAGTGGAGTACAACTGAGCAATCAAAAGGACTGGAGAGTCATGCATGTAACATGCAGGAATCTCAAAACATTAAATGACAGGAGTCAGACACAAGGATGCATGCTTCAATATCCACTTATATGATATTTTCAAAAAGGCAAAACAGGCCTATGGTTGCCAGAATTTGGGAGCAGGGGTTGGGGGTTACCAAGAAGTCAAAAGGAACTTTGTTGGTGATGATGGGAACATTCTACATCTTAAACTGCATGCATTTGTCGAAACTCAGAACACGGTTTCATTTCTAAAAAAAAGTGAACCTTATGTATATAAATTCTACCTTAAAATCTGAAACTTTAAAAATGGGCCTATAGAAGGCATGTGTAGTAGACATTTTCTGTCACTCTGGGTAAGGAATGCCGGCTTCCCAGACAGGGGCTGCTGTATTTGCTGAATAAGAAGGATCTTTCTAGAAGCTTCCCCAGAGATTGTCGGCTGCAGATTATAAAAATTTCTCTCTGGGATAGCATGAGTTATCCTAGAGGTGCTTCCGAAGCCTCTGCCACTTATCTTGAGAGAGAACTTGGGGCTTTCCACAGTATTTTGGGGGGAGGCAGTGTGCTGAAGCAGACAGACCTGGGCTGGATTATGGCCCTAAATGTGTTTTAATCAAGGACTCCCTTGACTTCCAACCTAAGCTCACTCATAAACAAGGACCACTACTTCTCAAAGTTGTTATAAAAAGGAGATGTGATTACACACCAACTCATGTTCCAGACCATGCATAACCCTGAAAAATGGTGAGTCAAGCATTATTGATGATATTGCCATGCACAGCTGCTGTTGTCCCTCAAGCTATTGGCCCATGAAGGATTCATGAGAAATATCTAACTAGAAAAGAGCTGCACAAAGCTGTGTACAGTGAGTGCCAAGGGAGAGCTGCAGGAGACAGCATGGTGGGCCTTCAAGGGGAGAGGTCTAAGTGCCTGGGTTGGCATCTGTGGGCACAGATGAGGGGTGGGCCACTCCTGAGGGTCAGGCAATGGAAAGAGCAAGCCCACTGTGAGCACAGGAGATGCATTCTGGGAAAACCTCAGGAGGGAGCAGGCTGGAAGGCTTCACTGGGAGGTTTCTGAGGAAGAGCTAGATACAGAAGACACAGCCCTGAGCTAGTCGATTTGTTTTGAGGCTTCTGAAATAAATTAGGAACACTTCATGAATGTGAAGAGAAAGGGACAGAATAGACAAAGAAAACAGCCTAAGACTGGATGAGTAACCAGAGAGGGGAGATGAGCACCATGACTCAGTCCCTGTCTCCACGAGGACAGGAATGGCTTGCTTCACCACACTGTAATAAACCAAGAGAAAAGCAGTGATAGCCAGAGATTTCAAAGGAGGTCCAAGCCACCAGGGCAGGTTCTTACACTCCCTGCATGGGTTATGGTCTCTGAAGCCTTCTGGTTTTCTATTTCCTCAGCAGGCGAAACCCAGAGAAGTCATTAGAGTATATCTCCGACAGTTTGGCTAATATTAGACCTTTTATCTGACATTGCTTTTGAAGATCTTGCATGGAGATGTGTGCAAAGGGGTCTTAGGCTACAGATATCAGGTCTCAGATCCTATTTTGCCATGTGTTTGTACATATACTGTTTAAGGGAGACTTCGAGCTGCTGCCCATGATCACCATGCTGCTGTTACCTGGCCCCATTCTAGCACACCAGATTCATTATTCCACTACTACCAGGTAAAGCCACCTCCCCATGATGTTGACTGTACAGGTGCATTATGGGTAATCCTCCAGCCCTTCAAATCCTTGTCACACACCCAGCCCAACCCTCTAAGGACAGAAAAGAGGGCCAGCCGTTTTACAGGTCCTCCTCACCACACTGCAAATATCCCAAGAGGACTGACAATGCTTTTTATTTTTAAAATAAAATATGCCTCTTTTCTCAAGGAATAATCAGTGCATTTTGGAAATCTTAGGAAAGGTATAAACAAAAACAAATATAGAAATTCTCCATTCCCATGGGTAAAACTGTTAATTTGGTGATACCCTTTAAGACAGTTTTTAATATAAATTTATGTTAAGCATTGAGATAAGTAAATGATTTCATACCCATTATGTTCTTCCATAACTCAAGACCATTATTTTCAAAACTGATTTTAATTATATTAAATGTGTTCACTATATGAGTGAATAGTGACTTTTAAATCCTTTGCCCCACATTTTTTACATTACAATTATTGCTGTCAAACATCCTTAAGGGTAAATTTTTACTAACCATATGTTATTGATTTTGAGAATAGAGTCCTAGGGAGGCAGTTACTCGGTAAAAAGGCAGAACCACTTTTAAGACTCTTGATTTTTGCCAGTTTGCCTCTTAAAGGTGGCTGTTCCCATCTCACTTCCCTAGTAGTACCTGAGTGAACCCCCCTTACCAGCCCACTTCTCCACATTCTTGCTACTATTGGGTATTGGCATTTCACAGTTCCTTGCTAACATTTTTAATGTCAACTGAGGGTTGTCCTTTTACAGTAGTGTCAATGCTGGGGACAGTGACCTGATGCAGGTTCCCAGCAGCACTCGGGAGTCTCACATCAGCAGCATTTCAGCACTGATGGGGAACTTGACCCTGACCAGGAATATCTATCCACTTTCACCCTTCTCTGCAAATGAAACTTCAGGTTCTCTATACACCTCTGAGCTCTCACTCTGCTGAGAGGAGATTCCTACAAGGAGGGAAACCCACAGCCATCCTCACCTGTGAATGAGGAGTCCTAGCACCTGCTGGGCCTCACCTTGTTCCTGGCAAGCACATTGGCTCCTGCTTTAACGAGCAGCTTGGCTGACTGGCTGAAACCATGCCAGGATGCTTCATGCAGGGCTGTATTCCCATCCTAAGGTACACACAGGGGAAACAGCACATTACCCAAGACCTAATTGTTCTCATTACCATCAATATATCACAGTAGATTTTCACAGTACACCACAGGTTTTCTTCAACTGGGATGCCTCATCTGAGTCACACAATACAAAGAAAATGATCCGAATGGCCAGTCTCTCCATTCTCCTAGAATAGTTACCTGAGATAGAGCACTTGTTTAGCATGCATGAGATTTGATCCCAGCACAGGGAGATAACAAAAAAAAAAAAAAAAAAAAAAAAAGCATAAAAGCTATCCAATGAATAAATAAAAATGAATTTGTGATGTACACAGACACATTAGGCATTAGGATTTAAGCCTCTCTGGGAATCTTATGTTGAGAAAGGCTCCAGGGCCCATCCATAGCTCCTGATAGAAAACAACACCAACACCGTCAGGAAGGCTCACTGCCCTTTCCTACTTCAGCCCCCCACTGCCCCTGACACCACAGGGAATTCTGCAAAAACAGAAAAGGAGAGTTCAGTTTCACAAGTTCCAGGGGCCTGATAGGTTAACACCCCCCCCACACACACACACACTTTTTCACCAAAATGTAATGTCATCTAGTTTATTCTGAAAGCCTCAGGGGCATAAACAAATGAGCAGACACCAAGGAAACAGTGAGTGATAGGCATGTCCCCCTTACCTTGTCTTGTCTGTCCAGGGCACATCCCTCCTGGATGAGTGCTGCGATGATCTCGGTGTTCCCCACCACCGTGGCCCGGTGTAAGGCGGTCTGGTCCCCCTGCAGAGTGACGTGGAGGCAGGAACAGCAGTCAGCTTGCCTAGCACCACTCACTCTTCCACTCAGACACCTCCCGCCCCCACAAGGAGCAGGCTGGCTACTTGCAGAAGGGCTCATCACCACAGGCAAGGAGAGCTTTGAGGTCCTGTTAGTAGACAATGCACACTGGCAGAGCAATTTTGTTCATAAATTCAAGGAGACCATAAGCCAATAGCAACCCTCGGCCCCAGATTAACTTCAGAATGAGGCCTGCTCCTGCCACCCCAAGGGATGTCACGTATGAGGAGCAAGTCTGGGAGCTGGGCTGTGTGTGGTGTGCTGTGCCATTAAACCAAACACACCCAGTCTTCACCCCCACCAATATCCTTGGTATATAATAGGACTGTCCACATCTCAATTTCATCCCACGGTTTATCTGTACAATTTAAGGGATGTCCAGAGTGATGAGGTCAGGATGCCTGGCTTACAGAGCAATCGTTCTGGCTAGGTCAGTTAGTAGCACTGCATCCTCATTGATTTATGCTGCATTCTGATCCTTCTCTGCCATCAGATTCCTGGGATTGCCAACCAGTTTTCTCCTTCAGGCGCCGAAGGGAACTTGACTCTTCCCCAGTGGCAGTGGAGAGAAGGATGAAACACACCCAGAGGTAAGAAGATCAAGACTGTAGCATGACAGTTCTGAGTCTCTAAGAGTACATCTTATTTATGACACACACTCAAGAAGTCAGGGCAAATCAAGTGAAGCCTGTGGTCTAGAATTGATCTCAAAAGGTGAGATGGGTGAACAGCAGGGAGATTTCCTGATAAAAAGGAACACTAGGCACAGGGCAAAGGGACTGTGAGACCCAGGTGGTGTATGTCCTTGGGAGACCTGTCATTTCACTAGATCTCCACTTGCTAAAGGTGAGGCCTGACGATCCCCAAGGTCCTTCTCCTCCTTTTATGGATTATATGATATGGTACACTCCCAGGACATCCCTGGACCTTAGCCCAAGAAAGGCATGAAAGATTGTTATGAGATAGATAACAACCGGGTGCAGTCACAGTTATAATCTTCAGCATGCTGAAGCAGGAGGACCACAAGTATGGGGCCAGCCTCTGCAACTCAGTGAAACCCTGTCTCAAAAGAGGGCTGGGAATATAGCTTGGATTCTCAGTTCCCCCCAAAAGATGAGAGATTTCTCAAAAGAAGAATGCACAACTATAAATAGCCTTAATGAAATACCAATTCAATTTACTAAACTCCCTGGATTTACACACATTAAGATTATTTAATTCAAAAAAGTTCTGAAGATGCACAAAATTGTGAACGTATGTAATGCCACTTAATACCTCTGCCATTTAAATGGTTATGACTGGGAATTTTGTTATATGATTTTATCATGATTTTAAAAAATCCTATTCAATAGTCAAAATTTGCTTTCTTAAAATTAAAGTCTCCTTTTAAAAATCCCCAAGGGGAAGTAATTCTTATTTTATTTCTTACAGTTTTTAATATTTTCCAACTTCTTATTTTTAACACCTATAACTTTGAGCAGCAGGGAAAACCACTACAATTAAGTTTAAGCAATAACAATATACCAAGAATAGAACTGTCCATGTCTCCGAATTTTTATATATATGTTTTTAGATGGACACAATATCTTTGTTTATTTTTATGTGGTGCTGAGGATTGAACCCAGTGCCTCACACATGTGAGGCAAGCGATTTGCCACTGAGCTACAATCCCAGCCCTCCGAATTTCATCCTACAGTTTATCTGTACACTTAAGGGATGTCACGAGGGATGGAGTCAGGACATCTAGTCACATTACCACAACTGCATCCACTGCCCTCAGCACTAACGTCAATGACCCTCTGCTTGGCCTCCTAAGCTAATATTCCACTATAAATTAGGTTTAGACTGGTTTTTTGGTCCACTTTTCCAGTCCACTTTTTCAAAGAGAACTCTTTCTATATACCAATGCGGTTAAAAGGAGAATGTGGCCACGGGATCAGTAATGGCAAGATCAGTAGTGGCAAGAGGTGTGACATTACAGTGTCCATTTCAAACATCTTGGGAAGCACTTCTGGAGGAAGAAAACTTGATGCCTAACAACTCATCATAGGAGCTACTGTCCAAGTCTTAATTTTTAAAAATTCCATAAGATGCCGGGCACAGTGGCTCACTCCTATAATCCCAGAGGCTCGAGAGGCTGAGGCAGGAGGATCATGAGTTCAAAGCCAGCCTCAGCAAAAGTGAGGCGCTAAGCAATTCTGTGAGACCCTGTCTCTAAATAAAATACAAAAAAAGGGCTGGGGATGTGGCTCAGTGGTCGAGTGCCCCGGAGTTCAATCCCCGGTACCAAAAACAAACAAAAAAAATTCATAAGAATTTCTAAGACTTTCCATTTTCCTATCAGAAAAGAGGAATTTTCCCAAAATTAGGCTCAGGTGTGACTTATTAGTATTGACCTATTTGAGGAGAAAGATGGTGCTCTGTCCTCAGCATGACTATGAGATAGCAGCCCATTCTTTCAGGGTAGGGTAGTGTTACCTTGGTCAGCTTTCCAAATTTCTAGAGGCCTTTTAATACCATGACAACTACACTCTACCTAGCCAAGGATACTACCCTTAAAAAAAAAAAAAAAAACAACTCTTTACAAAATAAAACTTACTGTTCTGTTCATGCCATGCATAAAGCATAAGCAACAAGCCCTGAACACACAGCTTGTGTCGGTCACTCTTGCATGCAAATGATCACAAGAAGAGCCTTCAGTGGTCAGGGCGCCATCTGACCTAGGTCATGGTCCAGGTTGAATGTTTCATCACATCTCATACCTGCCCACTAAATCATGAGCTGAGGCAGCTTTGGAGCCAGAGTAGCACCATTATTTATTACTGGCCTTCATTGTTGACCAAGCAAATGTATTTGCTTCCCTCAGGACAACTTTCCTTTGTGAATCTCTCAGTGCTAGCAGCTAAATCTAACTTTTTTGGTAGTCCTTCGGAGTAAATTTTCAGATGAATCAAGACCCGAAGAGCTCTAACTACTGAACACGAATTGATGCAAACTGGCTGGCACAGGTGGCTCCTGCCTGTCCCTTTCCCTGTAAGACTTTTCAGCTATACTCACTACCTGTCTCCAGGCAACAAGCCCCCCGAACCCCGCAGCTTTCCTCCTCCCCAACAGAGACCCACTCAGAGCCTGGATTCCTGTTTCCGTGGTCAGATAAACACTGCTGTACAGGCTACAGCCCTCTCCCCAGCATCTGTCCTTGGCTGGACAATTGGTTTTGCTTACACCATCTGGAATGGTCCAGGAGGGCTGAGCAATATACTTCCTCCAGCTTTTATCAGCGGCCACTCTGAAGTTAGCAAGACGAGAAAGGCTCTGAGACAAGACACATGAACAAAGGGCTGCCTTGGGCTGTCACCTTGAAAATACTCTCCCCAGAACATAACACAATTTAATACCCTGAAACCCTCAGTCAAAAAAAGATCAGTTACCTGTGAACTGATTCTTGGCTCCTACAAAATTAAAATTTACTGTTGAAACTTTTGTTCTTTTAAACATGACACAAGAAAAGTCATGGCCTACATACTGATGAATCCAAGGAAAAAAAATTTTTTTTTTGGCACCAGGGATTGAATCCAGGGGCACTCAATCACTAAGCCATACCCCCAGCTCTTTTTTATTCATTTTTTGATACAGGTCTTGCCAAGTTGATTAGGTCCTTGCAATGTTGCTGAGGCTGGCTCTAAACTTGCAATTTTCCTGCCTCAGCCTCCCAAGCCACTGGAGTTACACCACTCCCAGCTGGACTGAAGCAACTCTGACATAAGGATTATTTCTATCCCATCTAGATCAATCACAAAATTCTGAAACGGAAACCAAAATGCTGGGGAAAGATAGCTTTCCCCAAATCATTTAGACAGTGAGTATTTGATTCCTACTACATATCAAGTAGATGGCATCTAATTCTCTCATACTCTGATAAGTCTCACCTAGGTTAACTAGCTAATTCAAGATAGCATGGTTAGACCAGAATGCAAATGGTCAAGGCTCTTTGCATTTACCCCAGGGGCTTCCAACCTGTGAAGCCAATTAACCTTAGGCTGAATCTCAAAAAAGACCAGGTACCTCTGTGAGGTTGGGACTGCCTCATTGTGTAAGCTAAGTACTCAGTGTGGCATCCTGGCCACTGTGGGCACCCAAGATGTGTCTCTTGAATGATTAACTGCAGAGAAGTAAAGGGAAGATGCTGCAGCCAGAAACTTGAAGAGCCAGCAACCTCACAGTTTGGCACTTTGGGGCAGAACACACTGACCCATTTGCCAAAGAACAAACCACCAGCCCCCAATTTTTTTTTTGAGACATCAATGCTTCTCACTTCAGGGGCTCTAAAGCTCTCAGGTCTAAATCTTTGTTTTGAAATACTTTATTTTTCTCTCCTACGTGGTGAAAACCAGTTAGTATTCCAAAGCGAAACTCACGGAGGAAACACCAGTCATGCAAGGGTGGAATGTGCCCCTCTTCGGGAGGAAGCCCCAGGTGGAAAGAGCAGACATGTTGCAAGGAAGCTCAAAGCCAGGTAGGTGTGTAAAGCAAGCCTCTGACCTCTTTCTCCCTCTCTGATCTTCTAGGGTTCTTCCTAGCCTTTCTTCTCAGGTTTTTCTTATTTTTTTCTTCCTTCATGTCTTTTACTGTGGCCATAGGGTCCTGGACTATTTCTGAGGTGGGGATGGTGTGATTACTCATTGACCAATCAGAGATGGCGTTAGAACTCCGCTGAGGGTTGACAGCATTGTTGGGAAAGATGAGCGAATTTGCTTCTGGTGTTGCATATTCTAAAGAACTGTTTTCCACAGGTTGAAATTCATAATAATCCCACTCCAGGCCACTGGAGGTCATTCTTCAACTAATTCTCAGTCCTTACTATGCCATAAAGATCAGTATCTGTAGAATATGAGGTAAGGAGTAAACATTTCTATAGGTAACTTCTGAAGTGATTTACTCCAGTAATTAATCTCCCAGCTTCTTTAAACAAGAAATTTCTTCAAATTCTTGCTTAGATTTCAAGGCTGATCATCACCAGACATGGTGACATGGTATATACACAGCAGACAGGCACGGATTATACAGTGACCAGCAAATGCAGGACTTCCAGACCCGTGGAGGTCAATTCTGCCTTCTCCATACCCATCTGTTTTTTTTTTCCACATTACTATTCTTGTGTTATGTTTTGAGTTATGTGGGAGAAACAAAGTGTGCTTTGTCTAGGAAAGGGAAAAGATGTGAGAGAATAATTCCAATAAATAAAAGAGGATGTTCCTGTCTCAAAGCAGAGCTGGCTTTCTGCTGACTTGTCTCACCTTGGCTACTTTGTAAGAACTCCTGCCTGTTTTACCTCCTACCTTGCCTGATAGAAATAGCAGCAGTTCTAGGAAATTAGCATGTCTTTTGCTGCATGAGGACACAGTGTTCCTCAGAGGAGTATCCTGTGGGGATGGGTTAGCATACCTGGCGACGTGGCTTTGACACCGTGGTGAGCAAGGGCTTTAATTAAGCAAAAAGACTAGATGATCCCAACATGTTTATACCAGCAACTCAAGGCCCAACCTGGGTTTTATGTGGTCAGCATCTCCTCCCTGTCCCTGTATTTTCCTCCTGTCATCTAAGGAGATGATATGAGTCAGGAATGTTATGTTGGTTACAATGTTTAAAAATAAAGTACTGTGTCTCAAGGTAAAAATCAACAACTTAAAGCTAAATTGGCATTTTCTGAAAATAACATTCTTGATGATCCAAGTCTCCAGATGTAACTGGAAATTTATGAGACACACAAGATGGCCTGCTGCTCATGCATAAAACAATGCCATATTCAGTTATTTCTTTGCAAATAGTGTCCTTTCTCATTTGGAAACACATTTGCCAAGTTTTAGGACACTGCACAGAGACTAAGGAAAACATGCATCACTTTAGTAAACCCTAGCACATACCTTACATAGCTGAGGGCCTGAAATTTGAATAACACCTTCTTGCCAGTTATTTAAGGTAATTCCAGAAGAGGTTAGGATAAGGGAAAACTCTCTAAGATTCTCTGTTGCTCACAAATTTCTTATTTCTTAGAGTTCTACCACATGAATTAAGAATTGAAACAACTTCTAAAAATAGTTTGATTACATATCATAGAACCTTTTTCTAATAACTCATTGGAGAATCATTTAGACAATTCTTAGAGAATTCACCTTCTGCAAAGACCGAATAGGACAACCCTATGTGCATGTAATCCCATCCCACCCTCTGTTCATTGGCTCAGGAATTGACAGGTGACCCCAGAGAAGCCAATCTGAGTCCTTTTCTCAATCATTTGAATGGAAGACTGAGATGTGGTCATGTTTCAAAAATAGCAGAGCGCCAGAGTAAATTCTTACTAGAAGCCTTTTCTTGAATTCTGTGAGATTTATGTCATTTTCCCCCCTTAAATAGGTCCTTGCCAACTAAATATATATATATCAAATAACAGAAATCAAAGTGAGAAAAAGAAGAAATTAAGTTTTTAAGCCCTACCTTTTCTCTAGTGGTAAATTTGTGGTCAGTGATACGCATCTCCAGCAGGCCTTGCCCGCACTCACTGGGGTGTGAATGCTCCTTTGTGTGAAGGCAGGACACAGGCAAAAGGCCTTCAAGGCTCTGCACTTGAAAGCTAATAGAAAATGAACCATCCCACACTCCCAACCTCCAACTTCCTACTGAGAATGGACCTCAGAACAAGTGCTTCTGAGGAAGTTCTTGCCACAACAGGACTGAGATGGAGCTGAAAGTGTTGGGAGAGCATCTTCTTCCCTCTCACCTCATAGCTGCCCACATTTGTACTATGACCTTCTCGGCTAAAGTTGCGATTTGGATCTGGAATCTAGGTCCCCAAAGTCTCATGTGTTGAAGGCTTTGTCCCCAGAACAGCAAAGTTCAGAGGTGGGGTTTGGCGTGAAGTAATTGGACCATGAGGGCTTTAACCTCATCAGTGGATTCATCCATTGATGAATTAGTAATTTGATGGTATTATTGGGAGGCTGCAGAAACTATAGAAGAAGGGGCTTCATTGAAGAAGGTGGGTCACTGGGTGTATGCCTTAGAAGGCTATATCTTCTCCCTGGCCCCTTCCTTGATCCCAGCTGACATAACCTGAGATTTTCCCTTCCACTAAGATGCTCTGGCTCACCTCAGGCCCAAAGCAATGGATCTGGTCAATTGTGGACTCTGAAACCATGAGCCAAAAAATAAATCTTTCCTCCCTTAGGCTGTTTTTCTAAGTATTTTGTCATAGCAACAAAAAGCTAACACAGCAGATAAGCTCCCCTGCTAACCCATTCCATAGAATGATGGCTTCTACTCACATCATCCTGGACATCAAGGTCACAGCCAGCCTTCAGCAAGATCTGGACCACAGAAAGATGGCCCTTATTGGCAGCAAGATGCAGGGGGGTCCGGCCATGCTGTTAACACAAAGCAAACACTGATTTTAGAACAAGATAGCAAAACTGCTTGCTCTCTTCAGGGTAGGGACAGGGGAAATTTTTTGCCCCTTTGATTTGGCAGAAAATTATTAATTTACCCAGATCTCAAGTTGTCTCAGTTAACTCTGGCTATTGGCATCATAATCAATTATCAATACATGATAATTTCCTTTAGTGTGTAATTTCTACTTCCCACTTGTAAGCAGCAAAATGAGAAAGAGTCTCATATCTTCTCATTTTCCCACTAAATACTAATATTATGGGATGATGAAGTGGCAATGATCAATTAGACCAGGGCCAGAGGTGAGAAACAGGAACTGCCAAGCTAGTCAGCCCTAGGAAAATCCCGTAACTCCTTAAAACAAAAACGGAACAAACTGATCAGGAAAGACTCTTCCTCCCTTTAAAAACAGATTGTAAAATGTTTCAGCCATCCAAAAATAAAGTATTTTAAAATCCACATAGCCCCAACCATTTAAAAAAGCATCAGTAAAACTACTCATGCTCCTTGTGGATGCCTCACAAATCTGATCTCCCCTCTAATTTGGTATTCACATCCCTCTGCCTTTATATTTTCACTGTTTATAGCCAAAGATAACACAAACAGATCTACTTATTTCAAAATCTTATGTCCACGGTAGTAAACTTTACAATGTGGCTCAGGATTTTTTTTGTCTAACATTACATTTTTGAAAGTTTTTTGTATGGTCACCTATAGCTCCAGTCACCTATAGCCCCGTTGTACTAATGAGCACCCACCTGGTTGTTTCCTTGGGTTTGCAGAACATATTTGTGAGCTCAGCTCTCAGGCACTTCTCAGCCCTACAGATGCATCATGAAGACCATTCCCTCAACTGCTCTAAGCAGCACCTGGGCTCCTGGCTACCACCCTCAGTGGGAACACCCAGAATAAGTAACACTTTGCATTGTAAATTAATTTCTGTCCAGAGAACTGACCTTGTCACACTCCTACTTCTCCAAGCTCTGAAGGAGGCATTATGCCCCCTTAACTCTCCCTCAGGATTCACTGTGAAGGAAGGGTCAAACATCAATGAGCCATGGCCCCAGCCGTGCTAAAACACACCCGTGAGGAATATGGGTCTCACACGGCCTCTGTGCTGCTTAGCATCTTGATAAAGACCCAAAGGCCTTTATTGATATCCTAGCAGGATAAACCTATTTATGGTCTCAATAAAACACCAGTTTGCAATGGATAACTAGCCACTGGAGGAAAACAGATAACAGACAATAAAGGATCTTCATTTCTAGCCATGAAATGCAATCAAAGCACGAGATTGAGACTGGAAAGAGGTCAGAGCTCGCTTTAAAATTAGAATGCTTAATTAAGAACAAAGTTATTCTAAAAAAAAAAAAGTGGTCTATAAAAAGCTTTCATAAAAAAGGCAACATCCGAGATGAAAGAATGACCTTTCTTTGCCAGTGACTGTGCTCAGCCATGAGCCACTTAACCTTAACTCATTAAGTGAAATGTCCGTAGCTGATCAGATGGAGCAAAATGACCAGGTCTTCATTCACTGGGCCTGGTCTCAGACTCCATCTGCCGTCACATATCTTCACACCTTAATACTGAGTGAATGACCTTCAGTAAGTTTCCTAAGGGGTTCTGAAACAGGCAAGTTCACCACAGGTGTAAGCAGAGATACATGTGTGTGTTGTGAGGAAGGCACAGCATGATAGGACACAGGCACCTCTGAGCAGCCAGAAAACAGACCATAATGGGAAGAGGTTGTGTGGAGGGAGGCTGGAATGGGGGCAGAGACAGAGGGTCACTGGATATCAGGGTCAGGGGAGCTCTAAGGAACACATTCATCAGCGACCACATGTCACTGCTGGGGAAGGAGAAACCCAGGAGGATGAAAGGTCTGAGTGAACATAAATAATCAGAAGCCAGGAGAAGGAAACACTGCTGTAGCTCTGCTGTGGACTAAGTGTTTAGCTCCAAAATCCAGATACTGAAGCCCCCATCACAAAGTAATGGTATTTGAAGATAGCACTTTTGGAAGGTAATTAGGACATAGCAGTGAGCCTTCGTCATGTGATTAGGGACTTACAGAAAAAGAGCCTGCTGTCTCTCTTTCCACCATATGAAGATGCAAGAAGCAGCCTGCTGCCTGCAAACCAGGAAGCAAGGCTCTCACCTGGGTAAGCTGGGTGTTGCCACCCTGATCTTGGACTTCCCAGTCTCCAGAACAGTGAGAAACAAATGTCTGTTGTTGAAGCAACCAGTTGATCAAAGACAGGTTCAAACCAGATCGCATTTGAGAGGGCACTTTAGAAACCATGAACAAGATGACCCTGGATGGAAGCATCTTCCTAATGCAAAGTCAACAACAACAAAAAACCCTCCCTGTGGAGAAACGAAAGGCCAGAGGCACTAGAACTGGAGAGACCTGGTATAAATCCCAGTTCTGACTAATAGCACCTGTGTGGCTTTGTGCATGGCAATTTCCTAAGCCTGCTTTCTCATCGGTCAAACAGAAAAAGCCTCCACTGTGGACCCTGCAGGTTTGGGATAAGAATATGAGCCAACACCCATCTTCTGAGTTTCCCTTGCTCCCACTATCCTCCGCCTCCAAGACGGAGGACACCCAACTGCTGGTTTTCCTCCTTGACACCCACACACCCTGCCCTTAGGAAAGACCAGCGAGGCATTTCCACTGTAACAGACCTGGGTGAAGACTTGGGTCTCAGATCACTCAGGCAGTCACATGGGCTCTGACTGAAGTGTCGTGGTTTCCACCGGCCTGTCCTTGACCCACCTGTCTGCTCTCGAGGCCGAGGTTCCCATTCTTTGCATCTCCGCCTTACCATCAGGGCCTTTACTGTCTCTAAACCATGCCACCTCCAATTCCCCAAGAGGCCATGTTCACAGTCTTGCCCTCTCCATGGCTGTAGCATTTCAGTTCCCTGTTGGGAAACTACAACCTTCTGCTCTGCGTGTCCACTCTGGGAACTGGCTTCCTCCAACAGGCCCGCCTCCTTAAGGGGTGGCCATACTGAAGAGGCTCCAGTGGTCCTTGAGCACAGGGCCCGGACACTGGGACATATTTCAGTCCCAGGTTTGACTTCAGGGACATAGATGAGATGGTGGGCTGGTTACAAACTCCAGTTTTAGGATGTCTCAGACCCTCAGAGGAAACTTCGACACCTTGGAGGCTTCAGGAGCACTTTAGCAGTGACAAAGGGGCTTCTCTGGGGAGGTTCTGTGTTCCCTCACATGCTTATGGACCTGGGAAGGGTGCAGCAGTAGCCAAGGCAGAAATTGTTTTCCTGTGGAACATGAGTCTATCAGCCCCCGGATCCTGGGTTTTCTCAACACAAGACCAAATCCCTCAGACACACACCACCAACCGAAGGAAGAAAAATGCAGAAATGGGCTTAGTTTTCCAGAACATTCTATAGCAAAAAGCCACAAAAACAGGGCCCTTCAGAGGAGCAGCTGCTTACACCCAGTACACAGAGATACCCCGGACTGAGCCTGGTTTATGGGGAAAGCTGGAGCACTTTCAGAGGGAGAAGGCAAACAAAAACTGATCCTTACGACACTTCATGAGTGATTCAGACCAAAGGATGCAACTGCTGTTTCCACGTCCCTAGGACTTTCTAGCTGAAGAAAGGCACACAGGAGAATGACTACTTACTATGAATGACAGAAGTTGTTTTTGAAATGTCAATTTCCCCGGAGTTTCACCCCAATTATCCTCAAAGCCAGTTCAGCTCCACACACCCAGGCCCTGGTGACCCAGGGAAACCAATACTGATGAAGGTCTGCTAGGAGCAGCAGGCACTGCCTTGAGAACTTCACATCTGTTAGCTCATTCAGTCCTCCCAACCCCATAAGGTGGATACTATTATTCAGCTTATTTTACAAATGGGGAAACTGAGGCATGGAGAGACTGTTGTTTGTTATATACCACATAGAAGGTAACTGGAGTATGTGCTCACCTCTTAGACCACCTGACCTCAGAGCCCGCGCCCTTACCCCTACATGCTGCCCTGGTGGTGCTGAGGGGCCACCTAGTAGAGGGAGTTTTTTCTTGCTGTCAGGAAGCTCCCAGGTCCTTGAGTATTGTGTGTGAGCCCAGACACTAACCTCTGGTTTCTTAGAAATAGCCAGGTTCTTTCTAAGATCTCTGGAATGAGCAGTGGTCTTCTAGTTTTCCTTTGCATTGAATCTCCTGGAGAGGTTGGTCTGTGTCATTACTGATGCCAGTGCCCCTCCTCCGGTCTGATTGTGATGAGGCCCTGGTGTCAGGTTTTTATACACCTGGTGACTTTAATGTGTGATGGGTTAAGAACATAGGATGAGATGAGGAGGGGCCCAGATAAGCCCTCCCCAGAGCAGCCCTCAGGTAAACCTGCTGGGCTAGGCCTGCCCAAGCAAGAGCCATTCCTCTTTTTACATTCTTCATGATGCGCTCATCCCCACCTGTCAATGCAAAACATCCCAAATACTGCACCATTAACAGCCCAGAGCTTGCCAGATCTTCAAAGATTATATATGCGATGTGATAAAATTACTAAAAGTTCGGAAAACAAAAACAACATCTAATTCCACAACCCAATTCAACTGTTATTTTTATCCAATTCTTTTCAGAGAATCTCTTTCTTGATGCTTTTGTAGTTATATCCACAAGGTACATAAAATTATCTTGCTTTGTGCAATAATATACCTTAATCCCGTGACTCTTAAACCACATTGAGCTGCAGAACCTCCTATGAGAAGAGATTGCTGGGCTCCCTGTCCAGAGTCTCTGATTCAGTAAGTCAGGGATACAGCAGGAGAATTTGCATTTATAACAAGTTTGCATGCCACGAGAGGGTATTTCTTGTCTCCACCATCCCTCCCTTTTACATTTCTCATCCCTCTCCCCTCCGCTTCCCACCCACCATGAGCTGAGCAGCTTTTCTCCATCATGTTCTTTCTCCAAGATACTCTGCCTCACCTCAAGCCCAAA